CGGAGGAGGAAGTGGGGGCGGCTGCGGCCGCAGCAGCAGCTGGGGGTGAACGAGCCTGGCTCATCCGCCAAGAAACATACCACTGCTGTCACCAACATACACAGACACACACGCACATCAATTGAAGTCCCGAAGCCGGGGGCCCCGTCCACACACACGCACACACAAGCACCAGCCACTTACCACCCTACTCCACACATCCTAACATTTCCCGCCAGCGGAGAGACCCACCTGCTGGCGGTAGTCGGTGCTGCCGGGCAGCCCAGTGACGTCCTGTACGATACCCCCGACGGCGCCCTGCTCGTCCTCTCCGTTTGCACCCACCACCTCCGACGGCTGCTGGGCCCCCTGCGGCTGCTGCAGGTAGCCGCCCAACGAAGCCACTCGACTGCTGGATCGCAGCCGGCGATATCCCGCCACCGTCGCCGCTGCCGCCGCCGGCATCCCCGCCGCCGCTGCGGCTGACTCCCAGGCAGCGGCAGTAGCACCCCCACCACCCCCGCCACCACCATCCCCGCCAGCAGCAGCAGCAGCTCTACTCCGGCACGCTTCAGCGGATGAGCGAGTGGGGGACACCGGGTCGCGGTGGTGGTGGTGGTGGAGGAGGAGCTGCTGCTGCTGCTCACGGCTGACTCGGCCAGCCGCAAGCAGCAGCGGGAGGGGGGGAGGCGGCAGCAGCCGTGCACCACCGCCCGCACTACCGGCGTTAGGGCTGGTAGTGGTGCTGGTGGTGCACATGCTGCGCCGCGGGTGCGGGTGCTGGTGCTGGTGCTGGGCACGTGACGCGCGGAGGAGCAGCAGCTCGCCCTGCAGCCGCCGGCGCTCGTCCTCTGCGGCGCGCAGACAGGCGCGGGCCAGCGCAACGCGGACAGTGGCGCGGACGGCGCTCTGGTCGGCAGCTTCCTGTGCGTGGCGCGATGGGGTGGGCGTCGGATCATAGCTGGGTTATACAGAGCCTTACAGGCGATGTGGCCCGGAAGGACCAGCACGAGCGCGGATGTATAGTCTTGGGCCGGCCAGACCGGTATGTTGATACCGGTAGGAGGGGGAAGGACGGCAGCGGGGGCTTCATTTCCCACGGCCCCCCCAACCAAATGGACGCAAGCAAAACGATTCTTTAAGGAACCCCCCAAGACGGCGGACAGGACATGAGGACGGGACGGGACAGAGGGAGAGGAAGCCACATAGCGAACACGGAAGGCAGGGCGGGGCAAAATTGGACATGTGAGGGAGCACCCAACATTTTGCCCCTATCATTCCTCTTTCTTTTTTCCCCTACCGCCCCTACCCGCCCGCCAAACAGGCACCACACCACCCACCGACCTGCAGGTTCGCTATCTCCGCCAGCATCCGCTCCTGCCGCGCCTGCGCCACCTCACGTTCCCTAGCCGAATCATCTCGCAGCCGGTCGTACTGCTCCTGCACTGCCGTGGTATTCGTCATGCGCCGGATCACCGCGGAGTCCGTCGCCGCGGCCAGCTGTGTACGGAACCTGTACACCTGCGCCGCCAGGCCCCGGCGCGTGGACTCCGAATCCTCCAGCCGGACCGCCAGGTCGTCGCGTTCGCGTTGACAGAAGGACAGCTGCGTCTGCAGCTCCGCGGTCACACCTGCTGCCGCCGCCAGCCGCTCTGACAGCTCCTGCCGCCGAGCGTCGGAGTCCTCCAACTGGGACATCAGCTGCCGTGCGATGGCGTCCGTACGGGACAGCTGTTGCTGTGTCGTATCGCAGGCGGCCTCCCATCCCTCCAGCTGATGCTGAAGCGCAGCCAGCGCTGAAGCGCTGGCACACAGCTGAGAGCGCAACTCCCCGCGGGACGCCTCCGCCGCGACTAGCCGCGCCTGCAGCTCTCCTTTCGCCGCCTCGGCCGCCGTCAACTGGTCCCTGAGCCACCGCCGAGACTCACCTGCCGCCACCGCCGTTGCAGCAGCGGCGGCACCTTGGGCAGCCGCATCCGCTTCCGCCGCCGCAGCGGCGGAACGCAGGGCCTCCGCCTCCGCCGCGTGAGCCTCCTCGGCACCGTCCAGCCTCGCGCGCAGCTTCGTCAGCTCTGCGTCCGCAGCCGCAGCCCTGGCCGTCAGCTCGTCTCGCTCGGCTTCAACCTCCGCCAGCCTGCGCCCGTCGCGCTCGTGCTCCGCCACGACGACCGCCAACTGAACGCGCAGCTCCTCGCATGCAGCCGTAGAAGCCGTACAGCTCTTCTGGAGCTCCCCGCGCTCACACTCCGCCGCCGTCAGGCTGCGCTGCAGCGCCGTCAGCTCATTGGTCGCGTCAGCGAGTCGAGACAGTGCCTCGCCGCGAGCCGCCTCCGCCTCCGCAAGCTGGGCCTCCAGCGTCACTCGGGCCTTGGCCGCGTCCGTGACCTGAACTTCCAAGGCCGCACGTGCCGCGCTGGCGGCGTCAAGCTCCGACGCAAGTGAAGCCTGTCGTACCTCCGCCGCTGCAACACGCTCCGCCAGCGCCTCCTGCGCCGCTCGGCTGGCAGCCAGTCCACCTAGCAAGTCGCCCGCCTGCTCCCAGCCGCGTACAAGGACAGCTCGTTGGGCGGCGTGCACCGTATTCGCAACCTCCGTTGCAGCCTCCACGTCCTGCACCGCGTTCTCCAGCTCCCGCAACCGCGCCGCAAGCTGTACGGCATGTATGTTGCGCTCCGAAGCCGACGTTGCCGATGCTGCCTCCGCTGCCTCTAGACTGCCCTTCAGCTGCTTCAGCTGCACCACCAGATGGGACTGTACTTCCTGAGCCTCCGCCGCCACCGCGACGAGCTGCGACTGCACATCGCGAGCCTCCGTCGTCACTGCAGCCAGCTGCGCCTGCAGGGCCCGCCGCTCCGCGTCAGCACCATCAAGGCTCTGCTGCAGCGCGCCCAGGGCTAGCCCTGCATCAGCCAGCTGTGCCTGCGCCTCCGAATGCACCACCTCCATGCCATCCAACGCCGCGCGAAGCTCCCGTTGAACGTCCTCGCCCTCCTTTAGCCGCGCCTGCAGCTCCTTCCGCGCCACGTCGGCATCCGTCAGCTGAGTGGACAGCTCACTTGCGAGCCCCTCCGCAGCCGCTGCGCGCTCTTCCAGCTTCTGACGTTCCACCGCCGCCACGGCAAGGCGGTCCAGTAAGCCCTGCCGCTCGGCACCGGCATCCGCCAGCCGCCGCAGAAGCTCCTGTCGTACCGTGTCCGCGTCGCACAGCCGTGCCTGCAGTTGCACAGCGTGCGACGCGACCTGCTCAGACCACGCCAGGAGGTCTGCCGCCTTCGTGTCATGCAGAGCCTCCGCCTGAGCCTGCGCCATCTCCACACCCTCAACACCCCTCTGGAGCTCTGACAGCAAACCGGACAGCTGAGCTTGCAGCCTGCGGCGTTCCGCACCAGACGCCGCGAGCCCTTCCTGCAGCCCCAGCCGCTCACGTTCTGCATCGACCAGCCGCTGCTGCAGCACCTCGAGCTCGGCCCCAGCTTCCGCCAGCCGCTGCAGCACCTCCTCGCGCGCAGTTTCACTGGCCTCCAGCCGCTGGCGGAGCCCTGCCCGTACAGATTCGCCGTCTGCGACGCGGGCGTGCAAAGCCCGCCGCTCCGCCTCAGTGCACCCTAGGGCGGCAAGCAGCGCCACCTGGGCCGCCTCCGCTGTCTCCGCGGCCTGCAGCGCAAGCGCCTGCTGTTCCGCCTCCGCCACTGCCACCTGAGCCTCCGCCACCTGCCGTCGACGGTCCGCCGCTGCTGCCCGCTCCCGCAGCTCCCGCCTGGCGACCTCACTCGCCAACAGCGCCTCTTTTAGCTGTCGCAAAGACACGGCGCTCGCCTCACAGCCCTCCTGCGCGGCGTCTGCTCGGGCAGCCAGCGCGGCGCTCGCGGCCATCTCCGCCGCCTCCGCCGCATCCATGGCGGCCTGCACCTCCCCAACACGCTCCGCCAGCTGCACCCGCAACTCCCGCCGCTCTTCCAGCACAGTACCCAGCTGCGCCTGCAAATCCAGGCGCTCTGCATCAGCGCTTTGCAAGTGCTGCTGCAACAGCCGCAACGCCGAGTTGCTGAAGGAAAGCTGTGCCATGACGTCCGAGCGAGCTGCCTCGACACTCCGGAGCCGATTCTCCAGCTCCGCCCGTTCGACATCACTTCCTGCAAGCTCGTCCTCAAGGGTGAGCCGCTCCAAAGCGGCGGCATCCAACGCCTCCCGGAGCCGCTCCTGCTCTGCCTGCGCCTCCGCCACCTCCGCCAACAGCCGCTCGCGCTCTACCTTGGCCTCCTCTGCGCGCACCAGCAAGGCGGCCCGGGCTTCCTCACTCACGGCGAGCTGCTCCTGCAGAGCTGCCGCCGAGCGGCCGCTGTCCGTGGCCTGCAGCTGCAGCTCCACCAGCTGAGCAACGCGTACGTTCCGCTCCGCCGTCGATGCCGCCTCCGCTGCTTCCATACTGCACTGGAGCTCCTGAAGACGCGCGACCAGCAAAGTTCGCAACTCGGCATAGCTCCGTCGGTCCTCCGTTTCCGCCGCCGCCTCCACGGGGCCGTCCTCCCTCGCCAGCACCTCCTCTACCGCCTCCTCCTCCTCCTTAGCGGCGGCGGCGGCGGCGGCAGCTCTCGCCCGCTCGGAGGGAAACCGTGCCGACTGCGGCGTGGCCATCTCAACACGCCCCGCATCCCCACTGCTGGATTGCGTGGCGGCGGCACTAACAGCGTCAGAAGCGGTAGTGCAACTGACGGCGGTACGGCGCTGGTGCATCAGCCGTACGGCCGAGTTGGCGTCAGCCAGCTGTGACAGCGCCTCCGAAACCACCTCCTCCGCGCGGTGCAACCGCGCCTGAAGCTCGCGAATGGATGCCTCGCCTTCTGCCACCTGCGCCTCCAGTGCCGACCGAGCCTCGCCGGCGGCGTGAAGCGCCGCCTCCAGCTGTTCCCTCTTCTCCTCCGCACCGGCCGCCGCCGCCAGAAGCCTCCGTTGCTCGTCCTCCGCCGCCGTCGCCTGCACCTGCAGCTCCCGCCGTGCAGCCTCGCTCGCATTCAGCTGCGCTTGAAGATCTGCTACGGCGTGGCAGGCAGCCTCACAACGTTGCGCCAACTCAGCAACCTGCACCTCCCGCAAGCCAGCTGCTTCCGAGCCCGCCGCATCCGCTGTGCTAATGGCGGACTGCAGCTCCTGCAGCCGCATCACCAATGCTGCCTGCAGCCGATGCGCCTTGGCGTCAGCGTCAGTGCGTGCGACCCCAAGCTGTGCACGTACCTCCGTCAGGCTGGCGTTCAGCGCAACCACCGCGGCATCGCGCTGGTGCAGCTCATGCAACACGCGGGCCTCTCGCGCCGCGCTGGCGGCGGCGGCCTCGGCGGCCTCGGCGCGGTTCCGCTGCAACTCCTGCTCCGCCGCCGCCAGGGACTGCCGCAGCTGACAGATTGTGACCTGGAGGCCGTTGGCTGTAACCTGGGCGCCGTGCAGCGCCGCAGCCTGAGACGCCTCAGCGTGGCGGGCAGCCACCGCGGCAGCTTCGGCCTCGCGCAGGGCCGCCACAACGCCGTCCAGCTCTCTGCGAAGCTCCGTCGCCACACGCCGTGTGTCTGCGTCCGCGGCCACTGCTGCCGCCTCCACTTCCGCCAGCCGCACCGTTAGACCACGCACCCGGCCCCGCAGCTCATCGGCACGCTGCTCAGCAAGCCATCTGCCGGCCTGCGACTCGTCAAGTTGCGCCTGCAGCTCGGCCAGGCCATCACGCAACTCCGCCGATGCGGCTGCCGCAGCAGCGGCGGCGGCCTGCTCCTGTAGGCGCGTCAGCTCCGCCACGTACGACGTCTCCAGTCTCGCTTTAGATGCGAGCGCTGCCCCGGCGTCCTCCTGAGCCTGCTGCAGCCGGGTCGCCAGCACCAGCAGCTCCGCCTGCACCTCCGCCAGGCGCGCTGTGAGTGCCGCCGATGCCGCCTCGGCGGCACGGCAGCGATCGCTCTGCACCTCCGCTGCCGTCTGAGCGTCCTGCAGCTGCCGCCGCACCGCAGCCAGCTGTTGCCGCAATGTGCCCTTCTCCGCCAGCGCCTCCGCAACGTGATGCTGCGCATGCAACAGGTGCGTTCGGGCCGCCGCCAGCTCCCGATTGCTCGTTTGCAGCTGCTGGCCCAGAGCGGCGGTCTCCGACTGGGACGACGCTAGCTGCTCCTCGGCGTCGGTCTGCGCCCGCCGAGCCTTCATCAGCTCTTCCGCCGACGCGCGCAGGGCATCGTGCAGCTCCCCCAGCATGGCCTGCGCGGCGGCCAACTCGTCTTCCAGGCGCCGCCGTGCGGCAGCCGCCATGGCGAGCTGCTCCTCCAGGCGCGCCACGTCGGCGCGCAGGTCCACCGCCTCGCACTTTGCGGCGGCTAGGGCGCGGGCGTCGGCCGCGTGTGCAGCACTCTGCGCGGCGACCTGCTTCACCAGCGCCGCGCTCTCCTCCTTCAGGAGATGAAGCTCGACTGCTCGCTCCTGCGCTGCGCTGAGGGCCGCCAGAAGCGCCTCACCGCCATCGCCCTTCCCAACCTCAAAGAAGCCGCCACCGTCGCCGCCGCCGCCGCCGCCACCGCCGCTGCGCACGCCATGATGCTGGTCGCTCGAGCTGCCCCTGAGACTGATTCCGGAAGAGTCGGTGCTTGCGGTCGCCAACTGGACAGCAGGCTCTTCAGCATGCAGCAGAGCGTCGCCGTCTCCGCCGCCGTAACACTCCAGAAACGGGGGATGCGATGAGGAAGCGGCTAGGAAGCGGCTGATTTCTACGACGGCAGCGGCATCACCACTGGTTGCAGTGGCCGCGGCATAAGGCCCCCTTGTCCCGACGCCTGATGGAATCTTGTTCGTGTCGTCGTCATTGTCGTCGATGTCATCGCCGTCGTCGTCGTCGTCATCGCCGTCGTTGTTGCGATCAGTCGGAGCCATCGGGAGGTCGGGCAGGGCGGACATGGTGTCCTGCGATACAGATGGTGGTGTTGGTGTTGGTGTTGGTGAGGGGACCAGGGGGGCGAGATGGGTCCCGAAGAAGTTGGGGCAGCTTGATGTGGAACGAAGTGGTAGGCCCAGGAGTTTGGGAGAGAGAGAGAGATGGTATTAGGTGAGGCGGGCCCAGCAGCAGGGTTTGGAATGATGCGCGTGATGTGCCGCCGCCTGTGGTGTTAATGCTGTATGTGTTAATAATGAAATAAAGTAACAAGTATATGCCGGCCAGAGGCCAGCAGGGCCGCCCGCCTGGGAAAGCCTCATATAGAAAAATGGCCGTGCGTGGCTTTGCCGTGCCGAATCATCCCCATTTGGTACCAGTGTGAATTTTGTGTTGCCGTATTATTCAGCGCCGTACAACTTCTTAGATCCTCTTCCGAAGCAAGGTACGCATCCCAACCAGCCCAGGTACGCAACCCAACCAGTCCAGCCCACCTCCAGGGCGGCTGCGAAGCGCGCGGCGTGCTTGAGCTGCACCGTCAGATCCTCCGTGCGGCGGCGCTCCTGGTCCCGCTCCCGTGCAGCCAGCCGCGCGCACGCGTCCGACTCGTCCAGCTGGCGCCGCAGCTCCCGCAGCTGCACCTGCAGCGCCTGCCGCTCCGCCTGCGCGGCGGCCAGCAGGGCCGCCAAGTGCTCCCGAGCAGCCACTGCCTCGGCCACTGCACCCTGCCGCGCAACCAGCTCCAGCTGCACGAGTGCGCCGGCAAGTGCGCAGGCGGCGCAAAGTGGTGTCAGTAGAGGCCGACAAAGGGGAGGAAACGGGGCGGGGGGGGGAGAGGGGAGGGAAAAGAAATGCAGTAAAAATGGTGAAAAGGATGCACCGTCGGGGACAATATATCCCTTCCACTAGAAGGTGCGACTATACGCACGCACGCACACACAAGCACAGGCGGTTGTGCGGGCGCACCAACCCGGTGGAAGGCATGCAGAGCTACATTAAGCCCTGCTGGGTTACCCCACCCTGCTGAACCACAGTGGGGCAGATCTGCCAGTAAAAGGGAAAAGGGCGAGGACTGAGAGAGGAAGTGGCGGAGACAGGGCCGGAAGGCGAGTGGGAACAGGCGCCGGCGGATAATCGGTGTATGAATGTATATATGTATATATGTATATATGTATATATGTATGTATGTGTGAACGTAATTATTTATGTATGTGTGCTAGGGGGTTGAGTTGGCACATGCGCAGGTGACCACGCAGCAGATGTAGGCAGGTGGCGTCCCCCCCCAGACCACATGTGACAATTGGGTTGACAACGGGGAGGTCGACCAAATTGAAGGAAAAGCGTTAAGGAGAGCTACACTCAGGTTTTTTCAGAGGGGATAGGAAAAACGATTGTGGCTGGGGAAGAGAGATGGGCTGCTGGGGTACGGGAGACTTTGAATCCCTTCGGATTTCCATTCCAGAAGGTCTGGTGGCGGTGGCGGTGGCGGTGGACGGGCGTGCGTGCGTGGCTGGATAGCTTTGGCTTATTTCGCAGGTGCACGCAGTTGGGGGATCGGAGAGGGGAGTTTGGGTTTGTTGTTTGCCGGGCTAGTGGTTTGTACAGCAGGCAGTTTCAGGCACACACCGCTCCCATACACATGCAAAAACCATTGCTTTACACACGCACACACATACAGACACACAGACATACAAACGAGCCCGTGTTCTGGTTTCTCTGCACGTGAGACTCTCTTGCAAGAAGCGCTCTTTGTCCACGTGCCGCAAAGCATTAGGTGCTCCAAACACACTAGGTCCGCGGCATTCGTCTACCCAGCGGCAGATATAGCGTGCATCCAACCCGCCGGTCTCCTGCAAATCCCCCCCACCCCACCTATATACACTCAACACACCCGCAGGCGTGAACGCAGTCATCAGCAAACACGTACATACACACAATCCTGCCGTCCCCAGCGCATTTTTCTCCCGCCGCAGTCCAGTAAAAAAAACCACACCCTCAGTCACACACGCTCCCACATTCCCAGACGCTGCCCTCCCCTCCCCCCTCCCCCCTCCCACTCCCCCCTCCTCCCCTCCCCCCTCCCACTCCCCCCCGCCCCGTCCCCCTACCAGCAGCGCATCCCGGTGCTCCGTCACCCCCTCCAGCTGCGCGCACAGCTCCGACACGTCTCGCTCCAGGTCCCGCTGCAACGCCTCCAGACTGCAGGATATCGTCTCCATACGCCGCTTGGACACAGCCAGGGCATAGCTGGACTCATCCAGCGCGGCGGTCAACTTGCCAATCTAACGCAGGGCAAGGGAAAACCGGCGGCCAAGGAAGGCGGGGGCGGCGGCGGCAGAGGCATGAGCACGGAGCGGTAAAGAGGAGGGTTCCGTTTTGCTGCACTGGGCGCACTGGGAGAAGGGGTTGAGGCGATATGAAAGAAAACAGGTACATTCGAAACGCAAAGGATTGAGGAGGCTGTAAGGCCTGGACAAGGAAGCCGGAAGAGCCCCATATCGGTCTATTACGGGGTCGCATCCGTGGGGCCCAGCCGGAGGTAGCTGCTGGCTGCTCGAGGTGGCGGCTGGTCCTATGACGTGTGTTGGACCCTATGAAGAAAACCTAGCAAGGTGGGTCTGCTGCTGCCAATACCAGTAACCATATCAACACCAATCCGGATGGGAAATCCGCGCACAAGCTTTCGCACTCAAGACTGGGAGACAGGTACGCATACGCACATACACACGGCGAGCACACAGCTACAGCCGCTGAGGTGCCACTACACCCACCTACCTACCTATCCACCCAGCCAGCCGCGTACCTTTTCGTTGCTCAGTGCGCAGCTAACGGCGCGCCGTGTGATCAGCCTTGCAGCCAGGCGGGTCTCCCGCTCGTACGCCGCCATAAGCGCCTCCGCCAGACCCACCAACTGGGCGTTCAGCGGCAGGGGAGGAAGGTCCCCGTCCGGCTCCACAGCCTCCGCAGCCAGTACGGCCTCAATCACGGCGCGACGCTGTCTGGCCAGGGGATCCGGATCTGTGCCGCTGTAGGTGACGGGGGCCCCGGGTTTGCCGGCGGCCGCAGCATCCGCAGCAGTAGCAGTAGCAGGGGAGGATGTGCTGGCAGTAGCGATGGTGGTGGCGGCCGAACCACCACTTGGAAACAGCAGCCTCGCCGCGACGCTGCTCGGGCTCAGCAGCAGGAAGCTCTCACCGTCGAGGACCTGGACGTCTATGCCATGCCGGAGCAACACGAAACGCTGCTTGCGCGGCGAGACGCGGCGGGCAAGGCGTGGTGGGCACACGGCTCGCTCTTGCGGCGGCTGTAGCGGCGGCTGTAGCAGCTGTCTGCTCAGGCGCAGTAGCAGTGCCGCGAGAGCGCTAGGCGGGATGACCAGTGCTAGGGAGATGGCTACAGCCATCCAGAGCTGCGACTGGAAATCGGTAAAGCCGGGAGCCGATGGATGGCGGTCTTGGTGCCCGCCGCCGCCACCATCATCATCGCTACATCCGCCTCCTCCTCGTCCTCTGCCGCTACCGCCCCCGCTGCCACCGCTCCCATCGCCGCCGTCGCCGCTGCCGCCACCGTTCCCGCTGCGGCTTCCGCCACCACCGCCGTCGCCGCCGTCGGCGCTGGCACTGTTCCCGCTGCCATCGGTGCCGTCACGTCCACCACCGGTTTCCGAGCTGTCAGCACCGTCTTTACTATTCTTGTTGTAGTTACCGTTGCTATTGTTACGTGCGTCGCCGTAGTTGGCGACATTGAACAGTCCAACATCGAGCGATGTGGTCGCGTCCGCAACCTTCGCTGACCCCGCGACCGTCACGCGTGTCGCCGCGGGCTCGAACTTGCTGGCTTCTTGGCGAGGTTGTCGTAAGCGAAGTATGTCTGCAAGTTCTTCAAGGTTAGGGAGTACGGCGCTGGCGCTGATTAGCTGTTTGGTGAAGCTTCGGGGCACGGAGAGCTCCTCAAGTGCTTTGGCGAGCAGCGGCCCGGAGGAGGAGGAGGGGACGGTTGCGTAGTTGGACGCCGAGGAGGAGGAGGAGGAGGGTGGTGCGTGTGAGGCGGCCGGATGTGGTGTAGTGCGGGGAGGTGCCGCCTGGTTATTGGCGAGAGCGGAATGGGGGGTGGGGTTCGGGTGCTGGGTCGGCGGGACGCCGGTAAGGAGTCATCAGTGGTAACATCAGTGGTAACACATCAACGGGGTGCAAACATGGCGGTAGCTGGGAGGAGAGGTGCGGATGACTCAGAAGCGCGTTCAGGAAGGTTCCGGGGGAAATACACTCTTTAAACAACAGGGAATGCGCGAGGGAATGTACCCTTATGCGGCGTTGTGGCCAATGTGCATGCATATTGGGCAATGTGCACATTGACGTTGTTTTGTTTTCATACTCTTTTTCATCATTTCTGGGATCGCATCACCTGAAAAGAAACCAAACATGGCCGCTAGCTCTTTTGTCTTTCTGTCTCGTGCACTTCTGTGTCGGTCGTCGAAACCAGGTCCGCAACCTGTTCTCGCGCGGCCCTCAATCCTGACGTTTCTTGAGTTAAGTCCCCCCGAGCGCAGCGTTTTCCTGTCCAAAGGCGTATCTCCCACAACCTTGAATAGCCAACCATTCTGCCCTACCTCGACCCCGAGTTGATTTGCTCTTACAGGTCAAATAAAGACCAAGAAGGCACCGGACCTTTATGGTGACAGCACCGGACCGGAGTGCTCAATCGCCACCACACCTGAGAAAGCCGCCTGCTGCGCCCGCGTTGCACTTTCCGTTGAACTACCCGCCCCCCCCCGGCACTCCAGCGGTACCCATCCACCCGCATCACCGCAGATCAACCACTGCGCCCGCCCGCCTGTAACCCATCTCAACTCTTATAAGCTATGTTTAAACTCACTCCTCCCTCGCCGGGGGATCATCAGATCAGCTCCCCCCCTGTCACATACCCTTTCCTGGTACCCCATCCGCCCTACTCCCCAACACCACCACCGCCACCACCACCACCACAAGCCTTCCAGCTCAGCTCGCCCTGCCCAAGGATGGCACACCTGGTGGCTATTCTTGGCGTCTGAGAGCACCTCGAGCATGACCCACAGCACGGTCGTGCCTTTGCTGAGCACTGCCAGGCAGAGGTAGCCCACTGCATAGTCCTTCTGGACTACCGCGTGAAGGTATTTAGAGAACGCGGGTCCTGAGGGAGGTGCGCCTGCGGGGTGGAAGCCGCAGAAGAAGTTTGCTTTTGCAGTTTTGCAACACCTCCCCCCCCCCCCGCCACGATAACGGTTCCTTCAGTTTATGCTGGTTGGCGAGGCTGCTAGGGCGGTTCGGCACGGCGCACACGTGCACCGACCGTATGTGGATCCAGCATTAGGACCAAACGATACGCAGTGGAAAGGATAGGACACAAGAGCCGAGGTAACAGGATGGGCTTCACGGGTTCACCAGCTGTCGCAGCCGTCGTCAGTCACACATATCTCTCTTGTGGGCTCAAGACCCGGGAGGGTGCTTGAGAGTAACCGTACCGGTATTTCGCTCGCTTGTGGCTCCAAGCGTAACGGCTCTCCTCCCAGCCAAGGAACCTCGACATGCCTGTGAATGGAAGGGGGAAAGTGTCAAGAGCGCGCTTAGAGGAGGTGGAGACATAGAATGCGGATTGGGTTCTGCCTAAACGCGGTGGGGAGCTTGGTTTACGGTGCGGAATGGAACTCATTGCGTACCTCGGGAATGTTTCTCCATGCATGTACAGTTCGTATTATACGTATGTTCCTCGAGCGCCAAAAAAGGGCGTTGCGCGAGTGGTACGGGCTGCCAAAATGACAAAGCCTGCATTCGCCAATACGAAAGTGCTTCCTATCCTTCAAGCAGTCCTCGAGGCGGAGTGAAGGGCTGATAAAGATTAACTGAAGGGAAGAAATTCTTACCCCGCTGCCAATCCCCGGCCCTCCATGGCTCGCCGATGCGCTGACAGCCCGATTGAACCGGCAAGCCCCACTGGCGCCCCTCCTTGCCCTGAAGCCTCAGCCACAGGTTGTAAGCTGGAATGTCCTGTTCTGTGTAGTTGCATTTCGTGCTACATAATGGGCGCTGGGTGAAGCGTTGTGCCGACGCTGGTCCAGCTCAATCCTCAATCGATGCATCTGCTAATAATATTTAACATCATTGTTCCAACACATCATAAGGTTAGCAAGGTTCCCCTGTTGAAACTGAACGGGGCATCACGTCCCCCGTAAAGGTGAAATTAAACTAAACATAAATATATCACCCGCAATTCGTATAGAGGAAAACTCTGCCTTCTGTGTAAAGCGATGGTAAGAGGCGATGTGCACTGTCGGTGCAATGCGGTGCATACGATCCAAATCTAGATCCACTATTTAAGCGGGACGAGTCCTGCATCCAGCAATGCGCCTTCCTATTGATGCCCAAACTTGTGACTTATTTTAACACCTTACTTGTAATACATGGAGGGTTTGGCATGTAATGTGCACGATTAAGTTGACGCAGACAATCCGCTTCCTTATGAAAACGTTAATACTAACATGCATATTAAAGGCATCCATACTTGTTAGGAATGAAATCGCTTCAGGAACCAAAAGCCCTCAATGACCCGCGGGCCGTTGGGGACCACGCATACTGGGAAATATGTCAAAATGCAGAAAATCCTTCGCAAGACATCCTTTGCCACAGTCGGCTTGTTTGATGTGTGCATTCGAAGCAAATGAGCGGGAGTCCAGCACGCAACCTTTTCCAAGCCATTCACTCCCAAGTCCCAACCGCGCTTCGCCAACCTGAAGCCAATCTGGAGGGTGAAATGCAAGCAAGCTTGGCTGGTTCCATTTGCATCAGCGTAAATTGATACGGTACTGCCCCACTCACCAGGAACCCAACACCACCCACAAGTCCAAGGGTGCCCGTCTGTGTGTAGCCCTTTGTGTAGAACCGGAAGGATTCCGGCGGGGTAACCGGCTGCGGGCAACTGTCGTGACGCAGCCTAAAAGAAATGGATTTGCTAACACGTAATATGGGAAACCTGTTATCGGGTCAGCCGCAGGTCTGTCCAGTGTGTGAAGTACGCTGCTTGCACCGACGATTCATTCGGGTTGCCTTGACATAAGCCATCCAGTAACGGCCCAGCCAAACCACCTTGCCAACGGATGGGTAAGGTGGGCCCACGAGATCCACTTTCGAGGCACATGGATTATGCACATTGGCTGTGCACTGTAGCCCGCAGTAAGAGACGCGTTTCCCGGACTCCCGCACCGGAATCCGGAAGCGCATCTCTATTGCGGCATTACTTATTGTGGATAGGTCATGGCGATCCATATCGTTTATCGTACATGTTACATGTTGTTGTACCGACCGTTGGCCAGCAACATGGTGAAGCTTAACCATGGTGAAGCTTAACCAACATGGTGAAGCTTAACCATGGTGAAGCTTAACCACCCTGTAACAACATCAACATGTGTTCTCCCCCTCCAACAGTTCCGTCATGGCGATCCATATCTTATATCGTACATGTTACATGTTGTTGTGCCGACCGTTGGCCAGCAACATGTGTTCTCCCCCTCCAACGGTTCCGTCATGGTGATCCATATCTTATATCGTACATGTTACATGTTGTTGTGCCGACCGTTGGCCAGCAACATGTGTTCTCCCCCTCCAACGGTTCCGTCATGGCGATCCATATCTTATATCGTACATGTTACATGTTGTTGTGCCGACCGTTGGCCAGCAACATGTGTTCTCCCCCTCCAACGGTTCCGTCATGGCGTTTCATATCGTATATCGTACATGTTACATGTTGTTATACTGACCGTTGGCCAGCGACAGGTGTTCCCCTCTCCCGCAACGGTTCCGTCATGGCGATCCGGCATGCACTGCCGTACTGCTTTTCCATGCTCCCGACAATGAGCTGCGATCACGACAATCTGATTTGCGCATGCAAGTGCATGTACCACTTCATATTCTGGTGTGATGACCACCACAAATCATGGACTACGTCAAAGCGTGCCGTCCTCCTGTGGAGGCCCGCCGTCCATGTCGCCATGCAGGTCCCACCAAGCCTCCCCTTAGGTCCGGTCATTAAGAACATATGGTTCGGTATAACCAAATGCGCCCGAGGGTTGCCCTGGAGCGACCACGTGCACACTTGCACAATTCATCTGCAGGGGACGCCAGGGGTCGTGCGGCACAAGTGTATCACACGTCCTACTGCCTCGAGGTGTGTAAAGTGCGTGGGGACAAACTTTACTGCAAAAAACATTACTGCGAAAAGGGTGTAGAGGCCGTCCGCCTTAGTACCTTTTTGTGAGCATTCCAAAACTTAGCCACGTGGCCTTGTCGCCTGGATACTGTTACATATACATTTGAAGCATGTACCTCAAAGCTTCTAGGCGTTGTTAAGGACATATATCAAGGCTTTTGGCAAGGGATTGACACGCCAACCCCTCTTACAAAAACACAGGGACGGTTCAAACACGTTCCCAAGGCCACGGCACGGCCATTACGGATTGCCACACTACACCACCGGATCGAGACCCGGCTATCAAAGCGAAAAAAACTAAATATTCGACCCCCTCCGAAGGGAAGGTATTGCACGATACTACGCTGTGCTTCGCAACCAAACGTCTCCACGCACGCCTTTCTTAGAGGGTACCACATCATAACGACACATAGTATCGACGATGGCTTCGTTAACAAAAAAACAGACGATTGTTATCCTATTCTCCAAATGCCGAAACGCGCTCGTAAAAAATTTTCACGACGACGACGCTCTTTCTGCGGTTGGCATGCAACCATCGTTTCTTAAGTATCGTGATGCATGGGATATTCGGCAAGGGATGTTAAGGCCCTTTCACTGCACCTTCACATATATCATTTGGGACATGCATCTATTGCACCTTCTCCACATGCTTCATTTGCAGACTCATTAAAATTCCATAAACACGCAAAAACGCAACCACACATAAAAGCAGTCGAGGGGAAACGCGTACATTGCTACAGCACACATGGGGGGTGCGTACGAATACGGCTATCCGTACGGTCTCCATATTTGGGCAGCTTTCCAAGTTCAGACATTGGGTAGGTCCTATCTCTGTTGATGCACAGCCCATGGCGTCATGTACTTTCAGTGCTAGGTGACGTCATGGTAAGCCGTTCCAACTTCCATGGGGTCTGTGTGATCTTATCTGTGTCTACTTGTGCCATGGTGTCGCGGGCAAACTCCGGTTCCGTGCCCTGGGGGACGCGATGGGGCCGGTCAAGAGTTGTTGCCGCACAAACGGACGACGAGGACCTAGGGAAAAGGTCTTTTTATGGAAACCCCTACGCACTTCCACAAACCAAACATCCAGACAGGCGGACGGACAGACCCACACACAGACAAACGCCATGTCAGCTAATCTTTCATCAGCATATGCGCGCGCGTCTACACGCCCACATATTCATAGGTACACGTCACTACCCCTCGACAAGGCAGCTGCACGTCTGTGGCCCCGTAGTTAACCCGCGTGGATATCCCACCCATGCGCCCTGCCGCTACTCGCGCTCCATAACCATTAAGCTGTTCAATACGTAGTCAGGCTTTGGAAGTTAGAACATCAGACGCCCGCCCGAACAGCATGTGGCATGTGCAGCTCAGGTCCGTGCTTTACCGGCTTCCGTCCTGTACAATTATCCAAAGGATGGCTGATGACGTGGCGTCCGCAGCTCATACTGCCGATGCCAGCTGAAACTCGTGACATGCGTGCGGCGCACAGGGTGCAAAGAAAAAAGATACGGCAGCTCATGAGAAATATGCTATCAGCTTTAGGAGAGCTTTTGGCTGGCTATTCACAGCTGCTCCATGGTGCTGATGCCAACCCTTCATTCCTCCTCCTCCTCCTCTTCCTCCACCTCCTCCGCAAAACTGACGTGGATATGTGCAAGCCCTCCCAGCATATCACATCACATGCCCGAGGAAAAAATCTTCAGGGTAAAGCGAGAGCGATTTATATCATGGGGACTCGCTTTGTATTAGTTTGATGGTCATCAGTCGAGACCGGAATACTAGGGGCGACGGAGGCCAGGTCACTGCGTATTGTTGTCTAAAACTAAAAACGGGCGCATGCTTTCCTAAACTCACGAAGAACCGGACCACCCATGTCCTCGCCGCGCTTCCCCGACTCGCTGGCCCCTGCCATCTATGTACCCCAATCCTGCACCACCCCACGTCCGGACGCGCCCCACCCCTTCTTGCAATTACCCCCGTAGCGAAGTATGCTGCACGAGCCATCCTCGTGGATTTAAAGAGGTATAGGCCAAAATCTTAACATCTAATCCGGAGGGCCTATAGGTAATCAAGATGTCACCTCCGCTGGAGCTATTAGGCACCAGTGCCTTCACCGCACCCAGCGCTGTGATCCAGAGCCTTACCAATTGCCCCATCAAAACTACACACACACACACACACACACACACACACCGATAGGGTCGCCACGAGCCGCGGGCCGCGCAAAACGTGACCCGCACCGACAAGCCGGCGGCAGTGACACGCCTGCTCCACACTGCGACAGACTTCGCCTTCCCCACATGACCCTTCTGGTCTCACACCCCATGAACATTATTCTCAACCGGAGGGCCCTCTTCCCATTGCCCCTCTCCTTATAGACCCTCCCGACTGTCACGGGAGGTGGTGCTCAACCGCTTGCTGATCTTCTTGTAGAGCTTCACCATGGGGTTGGAGCGCGACACCGGGACCAGCTGCTCGCCGCCACCGGCCGTGCCGACGCCAGCCAGGGACGGCCCCGACAGCGCCGGAGTCGCCAGCGTGGTCGAAGGCGACGACGCGCCCGCAGCCTCCGGCATTGACGGGGACGGCCACAGTGACTGCCTCCGTACCAGATCATTGACTCGATGGTCAATCGACATCCGGCGTGCGCGCGCAAAGATGCTGCCAGAGCCGCTTCCGCGGCTACTCTGCGCCAGCGGGCGCGAGGGGTAGGCATAACCCGCAGCCGCAGGAAGCGTGCGGTTGGCTGACATGCGGCCCCATACCCTGGCTGCATGCAGACCTGTGACGAACGACACATCATCCGTTCCTCTGGAGGGACGTGCTGATGCAGGTAGAACGTTGAGGGACCTTCGCATCGCAGCCGTGCCATTCCCAGCCCCTGCGCCATTCGCCTCTTGCCCAGCCGCAAACATCGGGTTGAAGAAGAGCTGCATGTCAGTCTCTGAAGCCGCACGGCCCAGTGCCAGACGCGCGGCGCCTTGTGGTGCGACTTCCGGCGATTCGCAATCCGCGCCACCAAACGCCCAACCGCCCTCAGCACCAAGGTCCCGTTCCTCATCCACCTCCGCCTGGTCTTCAGCTTCCTCTTCCTCCTCTTCCAGGACTAACTCTCCGTCTGTCCATGCCTCCTGCCGCTCCTCCCCCTCCCCCTCGCCCTCCTCCTCCGCCGCCTCCTCCAGGCGGCGCAACTGTCCAGCGCTGCCGGCCCGATGGCGGGCAGAGTGCGGAGACAGGACACAACCGGTCGGGTGTGAGCTCCAAAACGGCTTGAAGCCGCGCGTTCCGGGCGGAGAGGCCACAGGCGAGATCGTGAGCTCGGGTTCAGCCAGCACCACGGACCCAGAAGACGGCATGGCAATACAATTCATTGGGCTTGCCTCCCTGGACGCCGCCACTTCATCCGCATGTGCCCCGCTAGCGCCATGAAGTTCCTCCGATGGGCAAGCGACGAAGGCAGCTGCAGGGCCTGCCGAGGCCTGCGGGATCAATTCCTCGACAGTACCAGCGATATTGCATAGGGAGAAACCATTGTTTTCAGCAAAGTTGGATGTCGAGTCGCCACCTATTGCCGCTCCGTCGGCGCTGCGTAATGGCGCTGGCACCGGTACCGCTACAGGGGCCGTAGAAGCCGCGCCACCAACCGTGGCGCTACCCCTCGCCCGGAGTCGCTGTAGCACGGTGGCGGTGCTTACAGCCGCGCCCATCGCCCACGGATTCCAGTACCCTCGTCCTTGCAGCAAAGCGAAGTGGTGCAGGTTGAGGCGGTGCAGGCCTGGCAGGAAAGAGCCGCAGCCGCCAGCCGGCGGACCGGTGACGCTGTCATGGCCTGGTGATAGCTGCTGCTGATGCTCCTGCTGCAGCTGCGATTGTACCGCGGGGAGCTGGGCTGCAGCAACAAACTCCGCCGCGGCAGCGGCCTCCTCTGCCCGATGCGCAAGGGAGGAAAGATCAATGGCGCTGAGGCAGCGCCGCCCCAAGGCCAGCCCGCCGCTACCGCCAGCCCATCCATTGCCTCGCAGCAGACTCGCTGCCGCTGCCACGCCGGCAGCCCCCGTTGACGGACTACGATCAATCTCCGCCGGCAGCTCTGGCGACAACGCAGCCATAGGGTGTGCGGCGGGACGGAGACCAGTGGCTGCAGGCAAAGACTCTGCAAAATGGAAATCCCATGTCACCGTCGCCAGCGGCTGCAGCCCTGACCGTGCTCCCTGCACCACAAGCGCCAGCTGCTCCTGCAGTAAGGAGGCCTGCCGCGCCCATGCCCTTGTTTCCACCGCGAGTTGCCGACGCCTGCCCACCCTCGTCTTCATGCTATTAGCCTGCACATGCGTCCCATCGGGCGCCTGCTCGTCCAACTCTTGCTCATTCAGGTCAACGGTCGTAGCATGCAGCGATCCGCATAGCTCATCCGCCAACTGCTGCACCACTGCCATATGGGCCAGCAGCGACACCAGCTGCTGTTGCAGTCGCTGCCGGTCCTTCCGTGCCGCCATGCATTCGGTGCTCAGCCGCTTCAGGGTTGACGGCGAGACCGCTAGCTCGGACGGCAGCTCAGTTACCTGTGCAGCCAGTTGCATTTGCGCGACCTCCGCAACCGCCTCCGCGTCTGGCGGAGTCGAAAAGGCAGTCGGCGATGCTGCCACCGACACAGCGCCTCTGTGCATCTGTGCTTCCAGTTCCTCGTATTTTGCTGCTAGCTCCTCACACTGGGCTGCCAAGGCTGACTCCCGTGCCTCCGAAGATGCCAAGCGCGCGAGGGTGTCGGCATTGGTGTCAGCGGTGCAGTGCATTGTCGCCTCACGTGCGTCTCTCCACAGCTGCTCATTCTGTTTCCGGAGCTGCTCCACCGCACGCCTGGCAGGACCAAGCTCCGCCGCCATCTCATCATTAGAGGCCCGCAGCATTTCCACCTCCCCGCACACGCGCGCGTGCGCCAAGAGCAGCGCCGACAGCCGCATGCGCGCGTCGGTGGCGGCGGCATGCGCGGCGGCACGCGCTGCACGCATGTTCGCCAGCTCCTGTTGCAGCGCATTTCTCTCGACTGCGCGCAGGACGCGCAATACCACCTCCCGTACCCCACGTGCCGCACGTTCCGCCTCAAGCATACCCAAGAGCTCACTAACCGACCAGCTAACGCCGCCATCATGGCTGTGTTGCTGCACGTTGACAGGTACGACAGTTGCTGTTGATGCTGGTGAAACGGACGTCGCCATCTCTGGTCCTGTCGATGGCGCCACCAGACATGCTCTGCGGTGGTCCGCATTGGCTTCCTTAGGGCTGTTACCGACCCCCACCTGCACCGCCCCAACAGCATGGCAGCCGGTGTCTGCGCCACCACCAGTGAGCACCATCTCCGTGCATCCTGCGACCTCCGTCTCGCAGCGTTCCCTTCGCAAAGCCTCCTTGGACGCCGCCAGCTCCGCCCGAAGCGTCGCAATGGTATCTGCCAGCTCCGCTACCTGTGTTTCCGACACCGCAGCAGAAGAAGGGCAGCCCAGCGAGATGGTTCCCCCAAACGCTGCATTAGCCATCCACATGGGCTCGTGATGCGAGTCGTAATCGTTTGCAGCGGCGGCCACTGCCGCCGCCGCTGGCAACCAATATGAGGAGCTGCCAGCACTGCTTGTGCTGCTGATGTCCTGTGCGGCTTGCGGTGGCAGTGGCGGCAACCCAGTTCGGGGACGCTGCGGCTCGGAAGCCCGTCGCCGCACCTGGTGGCCGCTGGCGTCGGGAGTTAACCCAACAGACACGATACCGCAACCAGCCGCACTGGCGGCAGCAATCAAGGGGGCTGAGGCCCTTGGTCCCAGGGTCCCTGCCCGGGACTGCGGCTCCAAGACACTTGTCACGCTATGTTGCCTAGAAATAACGACAGGATAGGACTCCGCAGGGCGTCGTGGCAGCAAAAGCGCAGCATCGGCTCCGGTACCGTCGCCAGCAGCAGCCATCCCAGCTGCATGCGCCAACACACGTAGTTGCCGATGCAGCTCCTCACGCTCTGCAACCCGCATAGCACGCAGCGTGACAATTCGGGCGGCATTGGCCTCGCGCTCGGACTCCAGGAGATCCTGGAGCGCCAAGACCTGCTGATGCAGATGCAACTCCCGTGTATTGGTTGCTGGTCCAGGTGCGTCGTTCCACGAGTTCCCAGCGTCGGAGCCCTCGGCCTCGGAAACGGCCCCAGTTGCCGCAGCCACAGCGTCATCGCTGCTGCCATCCCCGCCGCTGGGCCCAGTGCGCTCCGTGCAGCTGGCGTCACCGTCCGTCTCAATCTCTGCACCTACATCCACATCCACACGGTGCGATAGTGGCCCCGGTGAATCAGGCAGCACACCGACGGCTGTAATCTGCGCGTACGGCAGTGACGTCAGCGTCTCGGTGACCTTCTTATGCTCGCGCTCCACGGCCACCAGTTCAGCCTGCAACTGCGCAACGGCCACATCGACCATAGCAACGCTGGTGTGAAGGCCGTTGGCCTGCTCCGCCACCGCGGCTCTAGCCGCCACCTCAGCCTGCAACTCCGCAACGGCCGCCTCCGCCGCCGTGGCGCGGGCATTCGCAGCTCTGGCGTCCTCAACTGCAGCGGCTCTGGCCTCCTCCGCTGCTATTGTTTTGGCCGCTAGCTCAGCCTGCAAGTGTGCAATGGCCTCCTCCGCCACCGCGGCGCGGGTATTCGCAGCTCTGGCGTCCTCAACTGCAGCGGCTCTGGCCTCCTCCGCTGCTATTGTTTTGGCCGCTAGCTCAGCCTGCAAGTGTGCAATGGCCTCCTCCGCCACCGCGGCACGGGTATTCGCAGCTCTGGCGTCCTCAACTGCAGCGGCTCTGGCCTCCTCCGCTGCTATTGTTTTGGCCGCTAGCTCAGCCTGCAAGTGTGCAATGGCCTCCTCCGCCGCCGCGGCACGGGTATTTGTGGCGTCGGCCGCTTGTGCTGCAGCGGCTCTGGCCTCCTCCGCTGCTATTGTTTTGGCCGCTAGCTCAGCCTGCAAGTGTGCAATGGCCTCCTCCGCCACCGCGGCACGGGTATTTGCAGCTCTGGCGTCCTCAACTGCAGCGGCTCTGGCCTCCTCCGCTGCTATTGTTTTGGCCGCTAGCTCAGCCTGCAAGTGTGCAATGGCCTCCTCCGCCGCCGCGGCACGGGTATTTGTGGCGTCGGCCGCTTGTGCTGCTGCGGCCTTGGCCTCCTCCATTGCCATTGCTTTGGCCACTAGCTCAGCCTGCAACTGGGCAACGGCCGCTTCCGCTTCCGCTGCTCGTTCGTGCGCGGCATCAGCCTTCTCCACTGCCGCGGCTCTGGCCGCCAGCGCCTTATCCAGCCGCGCTGCTAGTCCGGCAGCAGTTGTTTCTCCCTGCTCTAGGCGCCCAGCGAGCTCGGCTGCCTGTGCTGACAGGTTCATGCACTCCCGCGTGGAGTCAGCTAGCTGGGCCTCTATCAACTGGGCCCGGGCAGCCGCTGTAGACTGATCTGCCAGCCGCGCCATAGCTACTTCCGCGAGAACATTGGCATGCCGGTCTTCTGCGTGCGATAGTTGGGCAGCCGCAACAGCCATTGCCGCCTGCGCCTCAATAGCTTCCTGCCGCCGCACCACGCGCGCACACACGACCCGTGCGACCTGCTGTGCTGCATGGCGCTCCGCTGCCACCAGGTCCATCGCTACATCAGCGGCCGCAGAGGCAGCGGCGGCGCGCTCCACTGACCGGAATACCCGCGCGCAAAGCGCCGCAGCTGCCGCGACCGCAGCTTCGTTCTGCAGCGCCGCTCGTGCAGCCTGCTCGGCTGCACGCTCGGCTTGGCGTGCGTCCTCGTGGCGCTCAGCCTCCACCAGGATCCGGGACTTCGCCTGCCCTAGCCTCTCATAGAGGTCCACTACTTGCATTCGCATTTTCTCCAGTTCAAAATCCGACGCGCGTCGTGCATTCTCAAGGTGGGCTGCGGCAGCTCTTAACGCCTCCTCCAGCGCCGCCGTTGTAGCGGCGGTGCACGTGCGACTGCGTGCGTCCCCACATTCTGCCGCGGCCATAAGCGCCGATGCGGCTGCTGCCAGGCTGGCGCCCTCCTCTCCCATCCGCTCGCGCTCTCGTTTCCATGTTTCCCTTTCTGCCTCCAAGAGTGAGAGCTGCTGCTGCTCCCGGGTTCTTGTGCTGTGAAGCTCATCGTTCAGATCAGAAACCTGCTCCTCCAAACCGGCCTTATGCACCCGCACAACCTGAAGCTCCTGGCGCAGCTCGGAAATCTCATTTGCCAAGCTATCCTTGCGGCTGTGCGCTTGCGCCACCTCCTTCTGGAGCTCCGACACCTTCGCTGCTAGCTCCTCCCTCCCGCGCAGCGCCCCGGCCAGCTCGTTCTGAAGCTTCAAGACCTGCGCTTCTAGCGCTGAATGCCGCTCGCCTGCATCAAATAGTTCCCTCTCAAGGGCTGTCCGCAGGTTGTCAAGCGATGACAACTCCCCGCCCAGCTGCACTACTTGCGCCTCAAGCCCCGAGCTGCTGGCCATCAACTCCGCCACCTGCGTCTGGCGCTGCTCCAGATCAGCCGTAAGAGCCGTGTTCGTCGCTGCGAGCAGCGCTGCCTCCTCATGAAGTGCAGCCAGTGCGGTGCCCAAGGAGTGGCGGAGCTCCTCCGTAGCGATTGTAGCGGCCGCCGCATCGGCGTCGGCGCGCTGTGCCCTGCCACGCCAGGCAGCAGCGGCCGCCGCAGCCGCCGAGGCAGCCGCTGCAACCGCGTCAGCGGCTGCTGCGCCCCGGGCAGCTTGGTCCCGAAGCCGTGCTTGCAGTGCGCGGGCGGCGGCGAGCAGCGACTCGGGCCAGGACATGTATGGTGCCGACGGGTTATACGGTTGCCGAGGCGGCCCCAAAGCGCCCCCCTCGGGGCCTCGTCCGGCCGTGCCCCCGCAAGCGTCAGGCAGTCGTAGCTCCATCTGATTGGGTTTACGTGGATGGCATGATTTGGGGAGCAACGGGTCTCTTGTGCCGGCCCGATGGAACCGTACGCTCTTATGCCTTGCACGTGCATGCAAAGCACTGACATTTCCAGTCGCACCCCGAAACCGCGCCTTTGCTTGCAGCAGGATTACGACGCTTACGACTATGCTGCCGATCCCTGCACAGCGCGCTGGAACCAACTTAATCGCATGCCCAAGTCTAAAAGCTTTTTTGGGTCTCTGTACCAAGCCGTAAGCCCGAAGAACGCACTAAGAGTAAAAGGCCCAAACTCAAAAATGCCTTCCCGCCCATGCCAAGACCCACATTGTAGCTGCTGACCAATCTCCGAGCCGATCCTCTATCTGGTTACGCGTTCCGACCTTCCACCCCCTTCCATTAGCTTCCGACTGAACAACGAGGATCACAGACCGTGACCAACGTAGCCCGTTCTGTGTACATGGGTGCCTTCCTTGCCCCCTCGCTGCGCACCTCAAGCCGCCAGCACAGGTCCTCGTACGCTCCTAGCCGCGCTTGCAGTTGCCTACAAGTATTCCGCTCTACTTCTATTGTCGCTTCCGCCTGCTGGGCTGCTTGTTGCGCCGCGCGGAGTGCCTCCTGCAGATCCGCCTCACGTGCTGCTGCTGTAGCTGCCACCTCCGCTGCCGCAGCCTCCTGTGTCCAGAGGCGCTCCTGCAGGGCCAGGGGGGAGGGCATTCAACGGCAGCCATGTTCCCTCAGCACTCTACCCCACCAAAACGTGCCGCTGCGCGACTCAATAGGTGTGAGCATGCGTACACAGACGTGTGTCGAGAGCAAGATGGAAAAATGTCGCCGCGCCTTGGCATGCCGTTTTTTGTATACAGATGCCAACGACCTACATTCAGGTACACGGTGCAGTTAATGGGAAGCCCCCAAAGGCCCTGACCCCAAAACGCACTCAAAAGATGCATCCAAAGGGTCCGCTCGCTCAGGGAGATCTCAACTGACTACGGAGAGTATGATCCACATCACATCATGCACAGCAAAGCAATAAACGACAACTCCTACAGAAGCTGCAACGCGCCAAACTATTGCTCTATTGATCAAAATGACCGTACTGGATAGTGGCCTGCAATACCCTTCCTGCTAATGCAAGGACCCCTTAAGCAGGCTTTGGTTGATGCATACACATCTGCCGAGTTCTAATCCATTATTAGGTTCTTCAAATTCGAGCTATTTGGCCCGACAACTTCCACTCAGGCCTTTACATGTTTGTATTTTTCATGTTTACGTCGCAGTCCCTACCCCTAATCTTGGCTCCGGCGACTTGATTGCTTGACAGGCCAATCCCTAGCCAATTCATCAAGAATCCCCGTAACCTGCCAGCCTGTCTGGTTGATGGGACTCTAGCTAATAGGGTCGGAATCCTAAGGTGTCGGTATCTGCCAACCCACATCGCCTTGCTGTGATTAACAACCAACGGTCCCGCAAGCTACTCCTTTTGCTGACTTCAGCCCAAATTTATGTGTAATACGACAACCCATATCGCGCTGCCGTCGCGATACTCAAGGTGGGCTATGGGCTATAGGTCGACCCACATCACGTAACAGATCAGTCATGCAGTCAGCACGCCAATCCATACGCCAGATTAGCCTGTCTGGCCTGATGTTAATACGTGTATTTCCTTTGCAACCAGCGCACTTCTTCGCACTTTAACTTTTCCATGACCCGCGTGGCCCAATCACACTTTCACGTCACAAAAACGGTTGAACCAAACAAAGAAAGTTATCTGACCTCCGCTTCCTGAAGCTTCGCCTCATGTGCATCGTGCGCGGCCTGCAGATCTGCTTGCAGCGTTGCCACCATGCGCTCCACCTCGGTTTCGAGCGACGCCTCGAGCTCCTCCACCCGCGCGCTCAAGCCTTGCAGCTGCTGCTGGGACGACCGTAAAGCGCTGCTGGACTGCTGCAGCTGAGCCTGCAGTTCCACCACCTATCGCGAGCAGATGGGAGATATGACAAGCATTACAGGATAGGAAGGAAGGATGGATCGCGTGGCAAAGAAACATAAAAACCATACACTGGGTCCTGTGCAATGGATGCAGCGTGTATAGTAAAGGAACAGCAAATGTCAAGGCGGGGGCAGAAGCCCATGTGATAGCTGCTTGAAAACTGCAGGTAGTAGGGTTACAAGGAATAAGCAGGGTTGGAGAGGTGCAGGGTTAGCGATGGTCAGAGGCTCCAAGGAGAAAGTTTGGCAACAGTCTGGGTTGATGCCGCTTATAACCCATACTGCAGTGATCGTGGCAGGGAACCACGAAGTGTCTGTGAACGAGTGTACGAAAGGAATACAGAGAACCATGACCCAAGTGTGGCGCTGCCCATGACGACAAGCTGCCGCATACGGACCTCTTGAGGAGAGCAAGACTCCATGTGAGAAGGCGGTGCTCCAGCATGGCTCATCAATCTCGAATGGACTTCGCGCCAGCGCGCACCACCGACCGAAAACAACTGTGGCGACCGTAGATTTAACTGCTGACGCTCCTTTGCTTCAAAAAGCATCATCTGTTGAAATAAAGAAGCCACAAGCAGGAGTCAACGCTGGTTGAATAGGTGAGCGCTGGTAACGCCCCCCCAAGTTCCTTATGAAAAACAAACTAACAGTTCAAGGTATATTCAAAAGCGTTCCAGTAACATAAAAATAGCATATCTTTTACGACGCTACACTTTATCGGCATACCTGCAGCTCGCCAATCAGCTCGGAGATGTCCGCTGTTACGACTTGCTCATCTCCTCCCGCCCCACCGCATGAGATATTAACCCTTGGCGTTCGATTCTCGACATGATAAGGACTTGTCGAAGTGCCGGGCGCACTAGAGCGGCGCTCTACAGCCAGAGAACCAGTCGTCGCCATCTCAGCGTCGCCGAGTTCCATCTTGTTTACGCTAGGATGAGTCGCCGAATATGTTATGAAAGCAAAAACTTGCAGGAACTCCCTTCGCTGGTCAGCATTTTGTGCAGTTTCTGCGGTTACATTTAATCAGTTATGCTGCACGCTAGCATGGTTAACGAGGACATAATTCAAAGAATAGCTTATTCGCATACATAATGTTCCGTTGGCTCGTCAAACTTTTCCAACCAAACTGGTCGGCAACGTACGACAGATCACTGTCAAACCGCCCAAACATTTTTTCAGATGAAATAAGCTGTAATTGCTATCCTAATACATCAAATGAGTCATCAGCATGTCCATGTAATTTTAAATGGAACATGCAGCGAGAGGTAGCATAAAACAGCGCTATTTCGGGCTGACGAAAACGGCAAGGCATACTGCTCCTTGTAGCAGGTGACGTCCTTGGAAGATACGACAATACATCTTGGCCGCATGAAGCAGTTTCTAAATAGGCTCCAGCTTTTATTTTAAGGCAGGCTATAGCATGGCTTCCAATCAACGGGCTTCGACCTCGGCAATGGCTCCACGCGGCATATTACTTACTCAATCAGCAATCAGCTCGTAGTACTGGAATCAATCCTCAAGTTGATATGGGTCATTCCTGTCCTTGCACCAAATGCGTATGGGCGTTATGAGAACGCTTACAACTCATGGGTAGATCGCAGACAGCAGGAAGAATCACATCGCACTGCTCAACAATCGTCATACTATTCTTTCGAAACGTTGGGCCCACTACTGCCTGTGGGAAAGTTCACGTGTTTGCTGCTATCATGCCACAACCCTACAATCGCAGCAATACAGTTCGTAACCGAATACCGTGACTAACAACGTTTAGTCGTTCACAACATCCAACAAGGAATCAAGGATATTGTCCAAATGTTTTTGCTCTACAAGACCACAATGTGAAACTACTTTCGCCACCCGCGCTATCTCCTTAAGCAGGCCTGATACAGGACATGCAGCAGGCGGTAAACTGCTAGGCATTGCATTCTTCATTTAATTCAAGCTTATATATGCAGCATGTTGAAAAGTCCTGGCGCAGATTTGCAGCAGCGTATGAAGCAACCATAAACAGCATCGACGGCGTCTATCCGGAGGCCAACGGACCTTCCCGGCGTTTCACACAGGTCACTCACTAAAATCCTAGCGTTTTGTATAAATCCCCCATTTTTTAGGTTCACAAACACAAACCTGTGGGGGAACGAAATAGTAGTAACCCCTCCCCTTCAGTTCTGCACGGCATGGTGTGTCAAGCAGCCAAATGAAACAACGCAGCTGTGTGGGGTAGGGTTGTCGCCCACTGAACCCTAGTGGTAGCGGGCGGTTAAGTATGCGGTTAAGTTAAGTTGGGTCAAAGCAGGATCAGAGAAATGAGCTGGAGTGCGTCTTACCGCTGCTGCCTTCCTATCTCCCCGTGGTGCACGAATAGATGGTTCATTTTTCAATATCGCTCAAGCGGTGAGCTGTGCTCCGAGCAATGTAGGGGAATATCATGAAAGGATGCCGCACGCACTCGTACCCATGTTTGCGAACGTGTGGCAGCAAAACGTGTGCGATCAAATGTGTCCGTGCATGATTGTGCGCAGCGAGAGGGTGCTGTACGGACAACTTACGCACCGCCTCTCCCCCTCATCGTCATCTATTGTGTACGTCAACGTTGCGTCCCAGGGACTAAAGAAACTCGTGTGTGCATGCCTTGGGGCATGAATTGCAGCTCCAAATCGTCATTTTTGTGCCTATACCCTTGAACATGCTTTTATGCTCTAATTCTTGTCCGTAGTCTTAAGGTCCGGTGGCTACATGCGCCCTTGTTTCCCGGCATGACACTGGCTCGATTTGTTCTGGGTGCAAAAGCATTGGTTGTTGCAACCAACATGCTGCAACCCGCGGGTGCCCCGCTGGCCCCACCCCTAAGGGCGCCAGCGAACGATGGGTTACTAGGCGTTGTGAGCTGACGTGAAGCGACATGAGGATATAGGAGTTTCGGATCCGGTCAAGTTGGGCTTGGATCTATTGCAAAGGAAAGATGCAGCAGGTTAGAAGTTGGGTTGGCAGTTAGGGGGGGTTGGCACCAAATACCATGTCTACGGCCTCAGCCCTCAACCTCGGACCCCCTGCGATTTCTGATCCTCAGACTCCGGTCGGCCCTAATTCAGTTAGCAGGAGGCTGGTGAGGATGTCAGCCGATGTGGCAACTATGGCCGCGTGTAAACTAACTCGCTTGCGTGTTTGCGTTAGGGTTGCGGAACTGGGTTGCGTCCCATTTCTGTCCTAAGTGTATCCAGGCGTATCTACATTGCTATTTGACCCCTGCTCGGTGACCAGGGGTCTCCCTGCTCCATGACTAAGGACTGCTGGCGATCATATGTGAAGAACTGATGGCTGCTTGCGCCTGGGCTTAGCGCTTGGACTGGCATTGGCTGCGACAGTTGAGACTGCAGGAGTGAAGAGGTTAAAAGGGCATGCAACGGCCTGTTAATGGAGTGGCCAAGCGAAGGATGACATACGAGTGCGAAATCCGTTCTATGCTCAGGCCTGAGGAGCTCGCTGTTCATGGTCATTGTGTGCTGCCATCAAATGTATAATGAGGGTTAGGACTCAGATCAGGGTTCAGACTCGTTGAACCTTTGAGGGCCACGCTCTAGGTGTAACACACGTATGTACAGACATGAATATGTGCCGATTCATGGGGGCCCCTGGTTTGATTCGTACCTCCAAATCGTACCTCCAGAGTTCCTTTTACGGAGTCTCCGCACACGTCATACATAATCCAACACCTGCTTTTGTCATGTGCTCCATGGCTGTGTAGGTCTGAAAAAAGACGCAGCAGTGGCACCCTTCGCGACTGCCAACAGGTTTCAGTCATTCAGACAGTCCATCTGGTTTGTTCCGGCTACACTTCCGGCTACACCCTGAAATATAACAACGGAGCTGGGTTATGAAAAGTGTTGTGTTTCTTGGCTCGAAGCGTACCGATACAACCCAGGGCTACGCGGGACTGGAAAGGAAAACCTGAAACCGAGGGTCTGTTGCACGCTTTCAACCTGGGTTCGAGGCGCGATAGGGTTGAAGGAGGCGCCCGGACCTTGACGTGTCTTGCATACATGCATGTGTGCCGGATGGCTCCTTGCGGCTCCTGGAAAGTCGAGGAGGCGGACTTGACCCGCCTCTTGCATATTGCTGTGTATCCTAGTCTTACACTTGACATCTTACGTCCGCAGCTGACCTGGCAGGCAGAAAGACGGTAGGTAGGCTGGATGGGAAACGGACTGCACTGCCGCCACCCCCCAATGAGAGCGGGTTAGGGGCGCCCATCGCAGCCCAGCTTGCTCTCTCGCGAAGACTGCTTTGCCCAACGGTCAAGTTCCGAATGTTGGCCTCCTTGTGTGCAGGCCACAGAGAAAGGGATGAGGGTACGCGACATCCTCCTCCTAAGCTTCTCCCCTTCACTTTCCTGGATCCCCGACGGCCCTAAAACCGGCAGAACTTTAATATCCCAAGCGAGACCGTGGGTGGATGCAGGGTCCTGGAAGCGGGGTACATGCTACTTCGCGTGGGAAGGACTCATGTGGCTAGGTATGATCCAACGATGGTCGACGGCTGGTGAATATCGTCAGGACCTCTCTGGTTCAGTCCCACCCATCAGCGAGGCTTAAGCGTTTTATGCTGGCAGCAGCTTCAGCGAAGAGATTTTGTTCTGAAAATTGCAAAATTGCAATTACTGATCCAATCGCACTCAAGACGGCCGCGTTGGCGTTGTTCACCAAGTTGTTCCTTAGGCCAAGGTGCCAGGTGCCTGTTCCTTCGGCCAAGACCGCCAGGCATGTCGTGAATGAGAGCTTAATCCAAATGAAATTATTTGCTCGACCAAACAGCTGCGGCAACTTCAAGGCTTACAGTAACCACTTCACGTGCAAGTGCTAAGCCAGACAAATTTCGTAAATCCCATATACTCTATCGCTCTATGCGCAAATTCTTTGATTTCGCAAAATTCATGGCGAGATGACCTTTGAAAGGCGGTAGTACGGCATTGTTTGCTCCCCTTTTAGCAGCAGAATGTCCCAAATGTCAGTATTACGACCTTTGGGTATTATGCTCATCATAAGCCTGTCTACTGCGCACCTCCGTTACAGCGGCTTCTTCCAGGTGCATCCTTGACCCAAGCTTGGAGTAGCGCTTGTTAGCTCTATACGTTCGGTAACTCACCATCGACAGCATGAAGCGTGCCAGGCCGAACGAGGTTTCAGACGGCCTGGACCAGCAGAGCTTGGCGGCCGCGGGCGGGGCCGGGGCCGGGGCTCAGATTTCGGATGGTTTCCCTTGTGTCAGGCTCCGGGGGCTGCCTTTTGATGTCATGGAGGGGGACATCAAAATGTTTCTGGTAGGGGAACCGCCGTCTGCGCTCTAGCGCGCTCACTACTGCCTTTCTGGGTCGGGTCGCCCTTTTCTGCCTGGGCGGCGCGCATAGGGGCGCGCAGGGTAATGACGCTTGCCTGCTCGCACCCGGCCATATTCTGGGGGGTGGGATTGCCGTTCGCGTTGCGCATAGGAGCTGGAAACTGTGGATATCGTCATGGTGAAGCGGGATGGGCGGTTCTCGGGGGAGGCCTTGGTGGTCCTGGGCTCGCTGCAGCTGGTTGAGGCGGCGCTGTCGAAGCACCGTCAATTTATCGGGCAACGCTTCATTGAGATTTTCCCATCATCGAAACGAGTAAGTCTTTTGCCTCCTAGAAGTGGTGATCTGACCGGACTTAACTTCTTCGGCTTCTGTAATGTTTCTTGTTAATTGCATTGCATGGTATAAGGTCTTAATTATCCTATGACCCTGCGCGTTTTTTTCGAGTCAGGACTACTACCGGGCGGTGGCTGCCTACGTTTCGGGCGACAGTTTGTCAGGTCGGCAATATGGCGGCAATATGGGCGGCATGGGCATGATGGATCCATCTATGGCTGGCTACAATATGATGGGGGGCTACGATCAGTCTATGATGGGAATGGGCATGGGCATGGGCGACATGAGCATGATGGGCTACGGGCAAGGCTACGGGCAACAGGGAATGGGCATGGGCCGTGGCGGCATGGGTGCTGGCAGCGGTGGTACAACTTGGCTTAAGCTGCGCGGTTTGCCATTCGCCGCTGTCCCCGACGACATCATCGCCTTCTTTGACGATGGCACTTTGGGCATCCCACGCCTGGACCCATCCCGGTAAGAGCTCTAATTGGTTTGGATGTGCCGTCCTTTGCCTGGTGGATCACGTCTTTGTGTGTATGGCTTCCGTGTTTTCATTCGCATCTTAGAGCTAGAGACCGCACATTTTTGCCATGTTCACGGGAGAGGCCATAACTCCGCTCTGCGGCTGTTCGTCGCCAGGTAGCATACACTGCAGCGTTGGTATTCTGCTGGAATTTAATGCCACCGTACTGACCCCGTGCGCAGGGTCCATATGTGGACGGACGGAGGGCGACCAACTGGCATGGCGCTAGTGCAGTTCAACACGCCACAGGAGGCAAGCATTGCGCGCAGCAAGGACAAGGGGCTTATGGGCACACGCTACGTGGAGATTTTCCCCGCAACGCGTGGCGACTTGGATAAGTTCATGGCGCGCACCGGCGAGCAGATCGCCGTGTAAAGGTATTGGCGGGCTGGTGCATTAGGTGTATCATTGACGCTAATGAGCACACAGCTCGGACAGCTGAGCGCGTGCGGGTTGATTATTGGTACATGATAAACTGGTGACGGGGGGGATGACTACTTGTAGGATTCCAAGTTGAAAGGAGGGTTTGGGGTGTTTCCCGGACGCGGACGGTATGACTGGCGTGGTCCTACACTAAAGACTTTCGCACCCGATTCTGCGGGCTGTTGACAGGAAGTTACGGGCGTGTTTGGTTTCCTGAATTAACTGCATGGACAATGCCTCCGGCAATTTAACTGGTTAGGGTGTGTGGCTGATGCCCCGTGGCGTATATGTCGTCTTCCTCCGCATTGCGCATTTCTAATACGAGACGCTGTAAACCACCCCATATATGAGTATTACACAACCTATTATCAGGTAGTCTGCAAATGTGTACGTCCCGCGTCCCGCTCTTACCTAACCTAGTATACAGTTTTGCAGCTGGGTGAGGCAAAAATTGCGGCATGGTGCACATCATTTTAGATGACAGCAGCCATCATGACCATCATGATGAGCAATCCTAAGAATGAAGAAAAAATGGCCAGGTGGAGCCGGGACAATTCAGGACTTGAGGCAGATGCTCGAAGCCTATGATAGCGTGAAGTATGGGGTTACAACTTCATCGGTGGCCACTAGCCTGGAGAGCCCGCTTATGTTTCGGGGCATCCTCTTCCTTACCCATGCCGGCTTCTATGGAGTCAGTGGCTTCCTCCCCGTCCTCCTCACCCATGCCGGCTTCTGCGGAGTCAATGGCTCCGTCGGGTTTGGCACCCACCACCAGCATCAAGTTGAACCTGTCGGAATAATGGCGGCGCCAACTCCATTCATGGTCGGCTTGCAGGTCACTATAACCGGGTCTATCGCCGTCCATCTACATGGGGTGCATCCAACCTCTTACGGTCGAGGGGTTCTTCATTCCGCTTTTTGTCGGGATCAATCCTGGAACCTTACAGGAGTACTATGCCGCGCCTTAGCATAATAGCTGCGTCTGGAGCCGTATTCATTATGTGTTCACTACCGACGACTCTCAACATCACCTATATCGACACCGGCTTCTCTCAACATCAACTTTTAAGCTTTTATATAAGAGTTCCGTGGTAGCGTGCACCTTAGCAATCGGGCAAATGAACATTTCTTTGCGATTTGCCACGAAGGACCTAAAGAAGGTGTGTTGTTGCCCATTCAGGAAGATAGTTGAATTTCCAGCATGGTGTAACATGGGTATTGCTTGCACCTGCAAGCGGCCTAGGACAGCCCGTACATGGTCTCCATCAAAAATCGAAAAGACTGCTTTGACTTATATATTTTATGAAATATGTTTGCCTGGAAAGTGTACTTGCCTACGTTTTGCGCATAGCCGTCTTTGAAATAGCCAGAGTTTAAGCTTGGCATGTAGCGATGACGAGCCCTTACTGGACTGTTAATCGAGGTTGCCTCCAATTTCCGGAATAAGTATCTTACATTGTGCTCAATATGATGTAGAGGTTGACCAAGCTATGACTTAAGCGCAGCGCCTCATGGTCGACCCCGGTGAATATGTCCCTGCCGAACATGGCCACGGTGCAGTCGGCAAAGCTCCTGGAACTAATGGCCAAGTTAGCCCGCCTTTAAAGTCCGTATGGCTCGAAGCTTTCGCTGATCCTGTGGCCGGAGTCTCTGCCTACACACCCTGCGTGCATACGTGCAATTTGTTTGGAGATGGCGATGATCGACTGGTCATCGCTGATGAGGACCGAAAGCTGAAGGTTTGTGTGTGCATGGATGGTGTGGGTTGCCGCCTACGACTGCAGCCCTTCGACAAGGTGACCACCGCCCTGCGCCCAGGTTTGGAAGGGCACGCAAAAGGCCTCGGAGCACCAGCTCTTGGACACGCCTGTGGCGATATGCAGCTTCATCTCAGATAACTCCCAGCCGCGCTTGCCGGCTCTGGCGGTAGCGGCAGGTGGGGCTCCTGGAAGGCCGTAGGGTACTCCAAGCCGCGTTGACCAAGCCTGGGCAATTCGATATTTTTCCCCGTGGGAGAGACGCGCGCTGCTCGTCCTCCAGGCGTGCTGCTCTGCGGGTCACGAGGCCAGTTTCTGCAGCATCGCTGACCTTCCTCCTGTTGCCCCCGTACGGGTTCCCTGGGTCCTGATCAGGCTCTCACATCTACATCTACCGCAATCTGCGTCCCTATTACAAGTTCGTCCTGCCCCCGGAGAACGTGAACACGGAGGAGCAAGACATATGGTGGGTCTGAAGGTTTCACTGGTGCAACCATGGATCCCGTGCGGACGATGGCAACGGCGTGGGGCACGTGCATGATCGCATGCGCTATTGCCGGCCTCCCGAGCTCCGCAAATGAACGTGTCTGAGCAGGGCATGGAATACTGCTGCCGGCTGTACAACCTTCCGGCCGAAGCGGCTCATGAAGCTCATCGGCGCGTGACTGTCTCAACTGCAGCTGTAGGGGCCACACACAACCTCACAACGGGGGAAAACGTGAGGGCATGGGCACATTGCAGCATGCTATCGCGGGCGTATGGGTCTGAGGGCAAACGGCAAAGGGTTGCAGCGCCTCGTCTGCGGGCTCCTCAACCGGAGCGTTATTGGGCTTCGTGTGGCTGTTCAGGAGCTTAGGGTCATCGCATTGAGTAGGGGCCAGTGGGGCTGGCGGCAGCTGTGTTGTAAAGCACGCGAAGCGGACAAAGCAGGGATTTTCGTGCCCTGCTGGTCTGCACGGTCCTGCGGTAGAAGGAAATGTCTGGCGTAGTAATCATGTTGGCAGCCGGCCACATGCCATGAGCCACATGCCATGATTAGCCTGTGCCATCCCCATCCACGAGGCTGCACCGAGCTGCCGCTTTCATACCTGGGTTACATCATATTAACTGCACCTTTGCGCAGTAAAAGTATTAATAGTGGTCTTACCTAATTCACGATTGCTGAGCTTTGGCTGTGGCCCCGGCTTATTAACGTGTTCAGTGGCTTCCATGGCTCCTCCCCGTGCCGCGATCCTTTACACAGGCAAAAAGTGATGGAGGGCGAGATTGTGATCGGCGACGCAGTGTCACAGCTGACTCGGCTGCAGGTTGGTCCGCAGCGGTAGCGGAGGATGTGGGGAGGTGTTGGAAGCGCGCCAAACGGGCCCGGGGAGGGAGAAACGGGAGACGGGATGAAACCTGCCGTTGTCCAGCATCCAGTGGCTTTATATCGTACGCACGTTTCTCGTCCTTCACTTGGACTCTATATAAATGCCGCAACTACTATAATCAATGATGAAGCATCCGAAAACAAGGGGGGACGTATTATGCCCGTATTGTGCGGTCTTGCTTTTCTTCCCGGACCTGCTGCCCATCAACGACGTCCACCGGCAAGTCAGGTGGAGCACCCGGTGTGAAGCACCTTGGGGGGCCCCACCGGATCGACCACAGCCTGAAACCTCTCTTTCTCTCTCTCTCTCCCTCTCTCTCTCTGTCTCTCCATCGATCGACCGATTGATATTCCTCTCCTCACAAAACTTGCTACATGCTGGCGAGCCCGTGCTCCTGGCCCCAGCGGGCTGCGTGGCCCCCCTTTCCCCCCCGTGGTTGCTGGCGTCCTTCCTCGAGGCCCATACCGCTTGTGTTTACATTACGCATTTTCGTGTTCCCTCTCCCTCCGACTCACCTGCAGTCCTCCCATCCTCCTCCCCTCATATGTGCCTTAGGACGCGGGTGTGGTTCTGCAGACCCGCTCCCTGCAGTTGATGAACATCGGCGACCCAGATGCCAAGATGGCCTTTGTGGAGCACTGGCAAGGCCAGCCGCTGGTTGCCACCACCGTCATCACGTGCATGGATGTCATCAAGCAAGCCATTGACGAGGTGAAGCGGAGGCAGGAGGAGAAATGGAGGGGATGAGGGGAGGAGGGGCCTCGAAAGAGGAGAGCTGAGAGGAGGGAGAAGGAGGGGGCGGGGGAACGACAACGGGGTTAGGTCAATATTGTGAGAGGTAAAGGGTGAGGAAATCGGTGAAGCGTGGGCATGAGGGGGAGAAGGGCCGCGTACATTAATGGAGTGCGGACAGACGCCGATGGTCAATTGTGCCGAGTATGTGGGTTTCGGAGATCATGTCACATTGGTTTCTTTAACGAGTGCTCTGGGGTGTGTGGTTGCCTCGCGACAGGGGGGGGCATGGCCGGAAAGGCACAAGTGAACACAGAGCAGAGCTGCCCCGGCTGCCAGAAAGCCAGTCGCCTCTATCTCATGGCGGGAAGTACGTGGCGACATGTTACTTCCGTTCTGTTGTCTCTGTGCTTCCACTCCCCGCCTCGCCCCTTCCTTCCCTCGGGATGGGCGGCTAACCTACCAAGGTAGACCTGCGCAGCTTGAATCTATTCCGAACCTACTCAATTGATCCCTCTCGTTTCCCCTTCTCCTTTTCCTCCATGGCACGTCGCGTTCGGTTGACATCGGGTTCAGCGGAGTGCTTTTCTCCTTAATTTCCCGTCCACCTATTGAGAAGGCGTTTCTTAACTCCATCTACTTATTCTTTCCTCCCTCCCGCCATTTCGTCCCCCTCCCTCCTGCGCAGCCTGACGCCGTGAGCTGCATGGTTGTGGGTACTGAGAGTGGGCGGGTGCTCATTATTAACGCAGCGGGCACCGCCATCGTTAAGAACATCTGGGTGGGCATTACACCTGCCATGATTGCGGTACAGGTAGGAGGGTTTCACATGACGGGCATGGGAGGGAGGTGGGATCAGGGACGGTAAGAGAGAGTGGACGGGGTGTCCTCGCCCCACCCCTAGGTTGTGTTCCCCAACCTGAAAAGGAGCGAATGGCAGGGAGGTGAGATAAGCGGCTGCCGGTTGCTGTTCTTGACACTCCCGCTATTGCTATTGCTGGCACACTCCTGTTGTTGCTCTTGCTCTGCCGTCTACGTCGCCACCAGGACAACCTACCAAGCAACACTTACCGGCCTGCGTCCCCCTCCCCTTTCTTCTCAGGGCGAGCTGGATGTGGGTTATCGCATCACCGTTGCTGGCCGTGACGGCAAGCTGTACCACATTCGCAACGGAGAACTCACCCAGACCATCATTCAGCTGGAAGCGCAACCCGTGGGCCTGGTGGGTGGAGGTGGAGGTGGAGGTGGGGGCTGCGTGGGGTGGGCTGTGGAACCGTGACCTCTTAGCACTTCACCGTTCGGCCTGGGGCTTCCTTCTGCAGTTTCCATGGTACTCCTCCTCCTCCTCGGCCGCCGTACACATTCGCGCGCTCACTCATGACCTTATCGCTCTCACTCCTGGGCCCCTGCGGGCCCGCAGGTCCGACTCTCTAAACACGTCGCCGTGGGGTGCATGAACGACGTGATCCACGCCTACCAGCCCAACGGCCACAAGTCCTGGTCCATCTACCTGCCCTGCCACATCCTGGCCATGCAGCGAATGGAGGTGACCAGTCAGAGAATGACCAAGGCACTGGTAGTGGCGCTGTCAAACGGTGCGGGAGCGAGGGCGGGCAAAAGGACGGAAGGCGGGCAGGAAGGGGGGAGAAGGAAAGGCCGGGGAGGTCAGGCATGGATGGCCGCCGGTACGCAGGTTTTCGGTACTTATGGGAAACGGCGGGAAGAGGCGGGTAACAGAAGGTGAGGGGGGGAAAAGAAGAACGGGGGAATGGAGATAATTCCCCTGAAGGGTGAGAGCAGTCAGGGCGGTGGAGAGGAGGAGGGGCTTGAGAAAGGCAGGCAGGCAGGCGGGCAGGCGGGTGCGAACAAACCCGACCGCGAACATCCGGGAAACGGTTTCCTGTTTCCTTGGCAATGACCGAGGAGGACTGGATATTATTTGCATCCCTCTCCCCCTTCTCCCCCTCCCTCCGCCACAGGCGAGGTCCGTGTGTACAATGAGAAGCTGCTCGTGAGCATCCACACAGTGCCCAATCCGGTTACCGCCATGTGGTTCGGGCGGTATGGACGGGAGGACAACACACTCATCACCATCACCAAGAGTGGAATGCTGGACATCAAGGTGGGCTGGCGGGGCTTGTGGGGTCGGTGGGGTCAGGTTCGGGTGACGTTTCCCCCTCTCTCCCCAACTCCCTCCCTCCCTTCCCTAAGCTCTGAACCCTCCCACGATTTGTTGCTTGTCGGCTCCCCTCCTTATTCCCCAACCCCTCTCCCTCTCTCCCCCTCCCTCTTCCCCTCCCTCTCCCCCTGTCCAGATCCTCCCGCGGACAGCCAACCTGGAGGTCGGGGCGGTGGGCGGCGGACCGCCACCCGAGCAGGTGAAGACGGACGAAGAGGGTCGGGGGGGAAGCACGTGAAAGGTGGAATGGGGCAGGAAAAGGGACGGGAAAAGTGGGTAGGAGCAAACGGGGGAAAGACTAGATTCCTATGTCTGCCCGAACACCATACCTGATGGCCGCTATATCGCGGCGGCTATAATCCTCCTTCCTCCCTGGCCCTTCCACCCGCCTCTTCCCCCTACTTGCATACCGTTGCCCCCAAGGGGAGAGGACCCAGGGGACCACCCTCGGCCGCCTGGCCTCAATTGCGGCGTAGTCCCACCCTCGGGTCCGGCTCCCTCCTTCCCTCATCCGCACGTGCTCCCTTTCACCCATCTTCTGCCACCATCGCCCCGGGCAATCGCGTTTGGGTGGCCTTCGGGTTTCCCTTCCCAGTACCCCTTCCCGGGGCTGTCTGTCTGATCTATTATTACCCCCAACTCAATTGTGTTCTACCCGTCCACCCTTCGGCAACACCCCCCCCCAGGAAATTCCCCTGGCAGTTCCCAAGAAGACCCGGTTGTACGTGGAGCAGACGCAGCGGGAGAGAGAGCAGGTGGGAGTGGTGGCAGATGTGGAGGTGGTGGCTGAAGGAAAAGACGTGCGAGCCCAGGATGTTACTTGAGGGGGTCGAAGGGGTGTGTGTATAGCGAGTGTTAGCGAAGACGTCCAGACGTTGACGAGATCCGAGGGATGCGGAGAGGGCTGGCTAGGTGTGCTGCGTGCTGGAAAGTGGAGAGGGAGCGCAGGTCCTTGGGGGGATGCAGGAGGAGGAGCAAGCGCAGGAAGGGGGGGAGGTGAGCAGGTGCGCGCGGCAGGCAGGAGACGTGAAATGGGAGCAGCGGGAAGGGGGTGGACGTTGTTAGGGAAAAGCAGGAAGAGGTGGCTAAGTGTGATAATGTAGAGATGGCGGATGGGCGAGTGGGAGTGAGGGGAGGAGCACCACAGACGGCGGGGGCGGGGATTAGGTGTGGTGCGGTGCGGTAGGGTGTTGGGGGTGGTGGTGGTGGGAGGGTGGAGAGATGGAGTCGGGGTGATAAGACCCTGGAGGAGGGAGCAGCCGTATGGGCCTTGCTGCTTGTGACACCCTCACCCCACCGCTCACCTCACATCCCCTGCGGCACCTTTCCCACCTTTCCCCCTTCCGCAATACCCGGACAGGCTGCTGACATGCACCGCACCTTCCAACGCGATCTGGCCAAGCTGCGGCTCACCACAGCCCGGGCGTACGTCAAGGTCCTCACGGATGGACAGGTACGGCGATGGGCAGTACAGGGAGGTAACGGACTTGGGTACAGCGTGGTTATGGAAACGCAAACTGTTCTCTTGGCTGTCCTGGCCAAGCCCTTTGCCGACCTACATCCTTACCGTACACACACACACACATGTTCCCCCCCCCACACACACACCCCACACACGCATTCCCCCCGACCGGCTGTCCCCTCTCCTTACCCTGCTCCTCCCCCCTTCCCATGAGACTACTCTTTACCCACCAAGACATGATGACACTGGCCTGTTTCGTATTTCTCCCCCCTGCTTTCCTTCCGTCCATGCTATATCTTCCCTGCGGCACCCCAATGAACTTTAATCCCAAATCCATCCCCCAATCTCTCCCGTGCCGCACCAGGGCGCCGCTGCCTTCACCACCAGCACCAACCTGTCCCTCTCCCTCGCCGTGGCGGGTCTGGGTCCCCGCTTCCGACTGTCGCTGCTGCTGCGCAACGAGAGCAGCAAGCAGATGCTGGATGTGCCCGTAGTGCTGCGAGCTGATCCGGTGCTGTATTCGCTAGGCAAAACCCAGTTCGTGATACCGCTGCTGGTGCCGGGGCTGCAGTACACGTACGAGGTGAGAGAGAGCCGGTTGCGCTGGGTTGGATGACCTGATATTACTTTGCCTTTGCAGCAGCATGGCTTTCTCGCCATCTGCCCCCCACCTCTTCGCGCGTACGTCCTTCTCTCGCCGGGGTTCGTTATCCGCCGCGCCCCCCGTACCGTGTCTTTTCCCTAAGAAATCGAAATCAAGGAAAGGAGGGGGTAGGGCAAAGCGAAGAGTGGAAAGTATACGATGAGTTCCGGATTGCATTGCACCATGCGGTGTGAGGAAAAGGTTACAGGAAAGACAACCGGACTATGAGGGTCAGGAACATCTCCCACCCCACCCAGAGGGCAGTTGGGGCCTGGGGCTTCCTCCTGCCCACCTCCCCCCTTGAATCGCGGGACCCCCTCTCTCTCTCTCTCTCTTGGCACCTCCCTGCAGATCCCAGTCACCGCACTGGACCCGCTCCAGGGAAGTGACAACGTGGTGGTGCTGCTGCTGGCGCCGGGGGGCTCATCAAGCAGTGCACCCCTGCTGCAGGCGACCATCAAGATGCCGGTCAGTGAGCCGGAGGACGTGTGAGGCTGGAGCAATGTAGTCGTGGCGGAGAGGGAGTAAGGCGGGACTCGCAAAAGCCGGCGGGGGATATGGGACAGGGAGAGTGCAAGCAGATGTGGGTGGGTGGGAGAGGCCGCCCACCCAGGCATGCAGGCAAAAACTGCGTGGCCCCGTACGGCAAACCTGGTAGAGGGTTTTCTCCAGGACCCGCCCTTCTCCATTGGACTGGTCTTTGGTATGTGGCACACCTGCAGTGTTGTTCTGTCGCGGTTTGTTCGTGGTGCCTTGAGCGTGTTGTTGGCTTGCGGACATGTGTGCATGTGTGCCCAGACGCACGTGTTTGACAGAGCAGTGCTGCTGGCGCACCGGGGCGCCATCCTTTCGTTTCCTCGCACGAGTGGTGGAGTTGGCGGTGGTGAAGGACCATGGACTGTGCGCCCGGAGCCGTGATGGCCCGGGTGTTGCGCACTGCAAATGTCGGGGTCCCAGGGATCGAAGGCCGTGCCAAGGGTGAGGGTAAAAGTGCTGTTGAAGGGATGCGGTCGAAGGTGGCTGCGACTGCCATCAGCCCCGACTGCGGTTTGGTGAGGTGCGGTACCACCACCAGCGATCCACCACGACCACGACGGGTGACGGTGACCCGCCCGCTAGGTCGAAGCTGCCTTTCTCCCTGCGGCAACTTGCGAAGTAATAATGGCTGTGTAAAACCTTTTGCCTTCTGTGGGCCTCGCGCTGTCTGTGTTGAACTGGTATCCGACTGCTTGTTCAGCCTGAACCACGTGAGCATGGGCGGTTCGTTTGCGGACCGGTGACGCGGGAGTGCAGCAATCCTAGGGTGAGTTACGCTGGTGATGACCGTGAAATGACCAGACCCCGTGGATTCAAATGTTGTACGATACCAATAACACCTCACTAGACCTAAGCTCACCACCACACACTGCGCCATCAGGGTACTCACGGTAGCGTCAGAGCACCATAATTGCATCGTGGCGTCCATCCGCACAGCTCGCGTTTCTGTAAATTGAGTTCCAATTGTCCAGGGGCCCGACTGCGTCATGCTGATGACCGACAGGCTAAAGAGCGGTTGCCGACAGCCTGCCACTCGGGGCCACCGCTGGTCCACCACGATCAATATAAACCGACCCTGCTGAAACGTCCCCAGCTGATGTGATGGGATGCGTAGCCATGCAGTTATCATTAATGTGGCATGGTTGCTGCGGAAAACCTTGTCCGGTTCGGTGGGGCCAAATCGACTATGATACACAACGGTCGAGACTGCAAATGGCTGCATGGGAATGGCACTGCCCGTCATATCACAAAGCCACATAGTCGGGGAGGGGATTTCATGGAGGTGGCGGTGGGTACGTGTTTCGCTGGGCAAGCGAATGACGGGCCCAATCGCTCGTCGATCGATTTTATCTCCCCGCAACAGCTGCTGCTGCCGCATCGAATCCGTTCGCTTCCGAAGTAGCAGGGAGTTCGGTGCATGAGGTACGGCATGACGAACAAGGGCCCAATCACGCAGCCGCCTTCCAGCGCACTAAGAGGTGAAGGTAGAAGTGTGCAGGGTAACGGCGACCCGGCGGTGGAATCAACATAACTCACCTAGGCCGCCACAGTGCGCACAGCTCGCAGTAGTGTTGAGGAAGAACACTTTTTGGTGATTGATCATCATCGAATCCTAATGAGCACACTATTAGGGATCATATAATCCCTAATTATTACACGGATTATGTAACCAACATCCAACTACCGTAACGTGGCCGTGACGGCCCCCTCCTGCGCCAATGCCTCACACCACCGGTAATGTGTATCGTATTAGCCTAATAAGGTGATGTAGTAGTAGCGAAGCACGCTAGACAAGATCAGACGGCGTTTCGCAAACGGCTGCTAGGATTTGCTACACACCCGAAAGGCAGCACCCCCAACAGCAGCCCACCAATCATCTCTCGCCAAGATCTCCTCAACGTCTTCATCAATCATGTTGCACGAGGGGGGGCTTCACGAGGGAGTTTGCAGCCGGACATACAGCAGACCGGCAATTGAGCAGTTGAACGCAGGGGAGTGCGGGGTAGTCTCCCATGGAAAGAATGGATACACATATCGTGTGCACATGCAAGTGCTTTTGTTGTTGAGGATGATGACGAGCATCAGTAGATAGATGTATTGAGCTTGATGCGTGTGTTGTATAGTGCTTATGTTGCAGTAGTTGCTGCCCCCGCCTCGCCTCGCCTCGGTTCTGGTCTCGCTCCGCTGAGACGGTCGCCCTACAGAGCTTCATCAGGGTCATCTCAATCGTGCAATACATGACGCACGTCTGTGGGCGCGCTGCCGCCCACTTTTGTTGCACCCGCCTACGACTGCCACACACGAGCTCTCTCACATATGTACACACACATCGCTAGCTCGTTCTTCACGTCCCCCCTCATTCGTAGTCGTTTCCCCCGCATAACACCGCACCGCAGAAACACACACACACACACACACACCCATATAAACACCGCCTCGCTCGGTGAAACTCCGCTTCCCCATCCCTCACTACCCACCCCTCTCACGTTCAGATCAAAGGAACATTCATTCGCACCCTTTCGTCCATTCGTCCGCCTTTGCATCTTGGCATCCATATATAGTTCCGACACGACAGATGTGTCCCTGGAAGGTTACTGCTTCGAATCCTCCCGGGTGCGAAGTAGGAGTAGGAGGATTCCCCCTCTCTCAGGCGTTATCGGGGGATACGTCCCCATCCCGGACGGGCGGTGGTGGGCCGACCCGGCTACAGGGACATCCGACCGAGACGACCGAGAACGGACTTAGAACGGGTTGTTATTGGCGCCCCGCCGCCGCCGTTGATACGGCTGATTGTCGGTGGCGGAGGCGGAACTCGAAAAGTCACTGTGACTTGGCAAAAGCCGGGGCACGTGGGTGATCAAAAGGATGATATGCCCCCGAAACAGAGGGGACTGTCAGGTAGGCTAGTGGCCACAGGTGCAGCTGTACGACCACTGTTACTTCACACATCCATGCAGTCAAAAGAAGCAACAGGACGCGATGATGAGATGACGACCACAGGGCGGCAGAGGGCTCCACACTCCCCAACCACTCCGACCCCCCTGCCACTGCTCCTGAATTTCACCCGCGCCTGCAGTTCTCCATGCTCCATGCACTTAATCCAACCACCTTGGTTCGGTTGGCTTTGGTAACAACCAAAACGGGTAGGCCTCCGTCTCCTCCTGGTCTGCCAGCAGAAGGACCACACGCCACCTCCAACCAAACCGTCAAAAACATGTCTCGCTAATTATGTAGCAAGTTCATGCGCTCCGAAACCTCTCGACAGCATGAGCGCGCAAAACCCCAACCAAAGGTTTCTCCCATTACTACAAGTCCGGCGGGTCGTCCCCGTCCTCGTCACCATCCGCCGTCACCGCCGTCACCGCCGCACGACGAAGCTCCTTGAGCATGAACTCACCACCCCCGCCAAAGCCACCACTGGCGGCAGAGGACCCCTTCGCAACCCCCCTCGTCGCCACCTTTGGAACACCGCCGTTTCTCCCGGTGGTGGTGGCGGTGGTGGCGGTGCCGGTGGTTCCCGGCACTTTAGGTCGCAGCTTTGCGACATCTATAACTGGTTGTGTGGGGTCTTCTTTGGGCATGGTGATTACGAGCTGGCCTGCAGTGAAGACGATCGTGAGGAATGCGGGGAAGGTGGAGGGTTGTGTGAGGCGCGTCATGGCGAAGGTCAAGAGGGTAATGTCTGGTCCGCGACCGGGGCCGGGGCGCCGCAAGGGTGGCTAGTGGGAAGCAAGCTCCAACCCCAGACACACCTGGACGGTAGTTGCGAATGACTTGGAGAGTGAGTTATTGGTTGGTGGTTAGTGGTTTGTGGGATGGGTGGGTCAAGGGGTGGGTGGAGGGGGCCCTCAGGATCCGTAGGGCAGGTCTGTGAAGGTGGCTGAGGGTCTCCGACAACGCCCAACCCCACCCCTTCTCCCAGAGGCTCCCAGAGGCTCCAAAACCAAACCTTAGAGAAGCTCAAACACGCAGCACCCCACCAATTTCCCCCTGACCCCCTCCTCAAACCCGTCCTTCTCCACCCCACCATTTACCCGGGCCCTCGGCCCCCTGCCCGCCCGGCCCACCTGTGGTCATGTTCCTCTGCGCCCTGGCTCCATCCGGCCGCACCTCGCAGGGCAGTAGCAGCTGCAGCAGCTTGCCCTTGATCAGCAGCCGCACGTACGTGGGTTGCAGGTCGGTTTGTATGAGGGAGGTGTCCAGGAAGCGGCCCACCGCCACCTCCAGCACCAGGCTGGTGCCGTCCGGCGCCTCCTCAAGGGAGAACTCCCACCTAGGGTGAGTGGGGGGCAGGTGGGGTTGGGGTTGGGGTTGGGGTTGGGGTTAGGAAGGGGGCTCAGGAAGGGGCCCTGTAGGTGGGCGGTGGGACAATATGCAGCAAAAGTCGAACAACTGTCCGCTGCCAACTGCCAACTGTCAGTGTCCAACGCACCAACGGCCGTAGGAGTCCAAAGCCAGGAGAGCAGGGTGAGGTGGCGGGTGAGTGGAGGATGGGAATGTGGGAGGAAGAGGAGGATGGCTCTCCACACGAGTACCCGGTCGCTTTGCTCTCATGCACCAACGGGTTATCGCTCATGTAACAACGAATGGGGGATGTATATATGGGCCACACGAGTCGGGTGTGGTTATGGTTGATGATAGTGCTACACCGTCTTTACGCACTTGCCCTCGTTCTTCTGGTAGATCCTGTCGGTGTCGGGGATGTCGGGAAAGCTGTCATGGCGGGTGGGCCGCGGGGCGGAGTCCAGGGAGGGCTGGGAGGCCCCCGCACGTTTTTTCTCCTCGGCCTCACGATTGGCGGCTTCCTGGACGGAGTGGTTGGGTGGCAATGGTTGGTGCTGGCAATCGGTGATTGGAGGTTGCGTTGGGATCATATGTGTCTGTGGGGGGGGAGGGGAGCATTGAAGGGTAGTGAAGTGGGCAACGTGTTTTCCTTACTTGGCCGCACATAATAACCCCCCTCTTCCCCCCTTCCCGTGTCCCCCCCCCCACCTGCTCCCTGTGTTCCAATATCCGCGTTGCGGCACACCAGGGCCGAACCAACTCCCCCTTATCATCCAGGTAACCAGTCTCAGGCACCTCCGCCACCGCCGCCCCCGTCTCGTCGTACAGACTGTCGTCCTCCACCAACCCCGCCGCTGCAATATCCACTCCCTCGGCTTTCAGCTCCGAAACCAGGGCTGGCTCCAGCTCGGGAAGCGCCTGTGCGGCTGCAATGCGCTCCGAGGGCTTTATGGCCTGACCGTCCTGTGTTGTTGTAGAGGGATTCGGGTAGTGGGTGAGGGGAGGAAGGGGCCGGTTGCGGCAGCGGGGGAGAGGGAGGAAGCAGGGGGGCAGCAGGGCAGGGTCGCAGGGCAGCAGGGGAGTGGTGGTCCAGGATCGACCTAACCCAGGCGCTGGCACCTCAATGCACCGCAATGGGAGCAGCTATACCTAGCTAACCCAGCCCCTCACTATCCCCAATCCCAAACCCTAAAACCCTACCCACCAGTTTTTTCAGTTGTGGTAGTTTGGCTACGACGTAATGCCGGTAGCCGTGCCAGTCGGTGCAGGGATTGCCTAGCAGGAACAGCTCCTGTTTAGAGTAGTGTGGGGGGTAGGGGGGTTGGGGACAGGGCAGGCGGCGTACGAGAGAGAGAGGGACAGTGACAGCAGCGGATATTTCGAACGCCGCAAAATACAACGGGGACAGCGTGAGCACCACCACCATCATCATCACGAGCATCATCATCACGAGCATCATCATGAGCAGCATGAGCAGCATAGCAACACGGCAGGCGCAGTTACACAGGATCACTACCGAACCCGCACCAACACGACAACAACTGAGCAAGAGGACGGCACCGCGATAAGAGCGCTTCCAATCGCTGCTTCTTAAGCACCTGCTCCTCCTTCTCCGCCGCCTCCTCCCCCCCCACAGGCCCCTTGCTTGTGTTCCTCAACCCCCTCCCCCCCTCCCCGTCTTTCCCTCCTCCACGTAACCTGTACGCGCCCCTTGCCCGTACTCAGTGTCAACCCTCCCCTCCCTGCCACATCACCCCGCCACTCCCGCTTTGCTCCTGCGCTGAGCGCCTTCGCCTTCGCCTTCCCCCCACCGCTGCCTCCTTCCATAAATCCCCTTCCCCACTGTCCCTCCCCTCGTCGGCAGTTGCTTTCCTTTACTTGGCAGAGGCTGCCCCGCTCTCTGTCCCTTGCACTGGTGAGTATTGCTCCCGGGTACATTCAACGTTGCGTTCTCGTTCCCGTTCGGGTGATGTGTTGTGGGGTATTTTTGTTTCGTCTTTCGCTTGGTGGCCCCTGTCTTGTGCTGTCCCCGTTCGCCCCGTGTCCCAGTCTTTTCCCCCCACCCACCGGCCCGTCCTCGTTGTGCGCGGCCTACCTCGAGGTGTATGTTGGCCCTGAGGCTCTCCACCGTGAGCAAGCCGGCCTTGCCGATGAAGTTAATAGTGAGGTCCAACTTCTTGAGACTCTCACACCGCTGAAGGTTCTGGAGCTTCGTCACATTGTTGACTGCCATATTAAGGTACTCCAGCTCCTGTGACAAAATGAAATGTCAATAAGAAACATGCTAATAAAACTTCCGGACAAGGCAATTAAGTCTTGACCCAGGTTGTTACGTATGCAGATGGGGTGTCTGGGGTGTAAGGGGGGACTGGGGGAAAAGGGGGAAGATGGAGCATGCAGGGATTGGATGGAGTCGCACCTTAAGCTTGTGGAGGTTCTGTATCTTGCCTATGAGGTTATTCTGCAGGTATAGGATCTTCAGCTTCGGACAAAGCTGCCCGAGGAGTTCGATCTTTTCGATGTTCTGCTGGTGCAGCGCCACCTCCTCCAGGGTGGAGATCATGCCCTCGTTGTGCTCCGCCCTCTACACAAGGTGCAAATCAAGTTGAAGTCGTGTAGCCAGGAGAAATCTATTGTACGCTGCTGAAGCTTGCCTGGCGGATAAGGCGCTCCGTTATTCGGCCCATTTCGACAACAGAAACAGCTATCAGGGCTCCAAGTTACATTGAGTTTCTGTGTACTTATCCAAAAACTGTTTGTTTATAACCTAACCATGAACAAAGACATTAGTCCTCTGGAAGATCGGAGGATCAATAAATGCATCATGATTTCATGTCATTGGAAGACCTAAGCCACTACAAGATGCTCCGAGGATGTAACGTTTATCCATGTTTATTGAGGATTCATCATTATGCTTAAAGTTCGGTACTCCGAAACCATTCTTTCCTATACTTCGTGTACTTGTAATTTGTATTTGCAGGAAATACGAAATGGCATGTAGCGGGTTGATAATGTGGCTAGTCAAGCTGCAGCAGCCATCGCACCGCCAATCTTATGATCTTCGCATTTGGAGGATTCCTCCAAATGCGCTTGACACTGATTGCGAAGATCATAAACTTTAATTGGATAAGGGGTTCCTTTTATTGCTGAGGTCTTCGTTTGGGCATGCAGATACAGTGGTGGTTCGGCACAAGATAACTAGACACCAAATGTGACTTGGCATGGGTTTAAACTAGCGTTATCAAATTGTGGAAGCTATCACTTGTGTCTTTTCAACCGCTTTCATCCGTGAGGTACACCCGTGAAAAGGACCCGTGACAGGGCCCGTTAGGGACCTCTTCATGCACCACACTGCAGCGAAAGTTCCTATTCAAATAAGTTAGAGAAACTGTGGAGCTGCTTAGCTTACGTTTACGTTTGATTACAAGCTTCTTGAGCTTGTACGGCCCAGACGAGCCAAGAGGCTCATGAGCCGCCGAGCTGCTTAGCTTCAAACGTAAGAAGAGGTTTACAGTTACCTGCTTGTCTCGTCTTGGGTTGGCCAATTCCCAACTTCCCCAACTCCTCCATTTTCCCTAGAAAGAGTACACATCATAAAGTTAACGTACGGGTTCTTCTCAGGAGACCTTTAACCTCTGGAATATTATTACGCTTCTATGGGGCAATTATTGTCCGCTGAAGCTCGCGATACCCCCAGGCCCGCCTTAACGCAAGGCAGGTCGAGGACAACGCCTACCAATGTTTTGGTATCATCATCATCATCATCATCATCATCATCATCATCATCATCATCATCATCATCACCAACATCATCATCATCTTCATCTTCTTCGTCTTTGACAGCAGCGGCAGCGTCACCCGCGTCTTTACCACCACCTACACCATCAGCAGTTGCTTCAACGCTCGAGGCAGGAGCCCAGCACGCCTCCACCCAACCGACGTTCCTCTTTTACTCACATCCTTTAACCACATCAGTTGCCAAAGCTGCTCCTGTTTTTTGTGCAAATGCAACCTTAACCGCAACTGCTTCCATGGCTCCGTGGCCATCAGTAGAGGGATCACCGGTTGCCATGGTGGCGGCAACAGCAACAACAGCACCAGCGAGCCTGAAGACAAAGGCTGCAGTGCCACCAGCAGTCGCAGCGATTGCAGGGCCACTGTCGGGGTCGCGATCGACCCACGGGCTCAACAGCAACAACCACCGCAGCTGCACCTCAAGCTCCAGTTCCTCCGCTTCCCTCAGCACCTCTACTTCTTTTGGCGCGCTCAGCTATCCCTCCTGCACGAGCATCAGCAGCATCAGCAGTGGCGGCAGTAGCAGTGGCGGCGGCAGCAGCAGCAGCAGCAGCGGTGACAACAAAAGTAAGGGTGTTGGAGGCCCCACCGCCCCACCGCCGCTCAGTGGAAAGGCCTCGTTAGCTCCACCACTCACCATGGCCGCTGCCCTTAAGGCCGCTGCTAAGGCCGCCACTGTTGGAGGCCCCACCGCCCCACCGCCGCTCAGTGGAAAGGCCTCGTTAGCTCCACCACTCACCATGGCCGCTGCCCTTAAGGCCGCTGCTAAGGCCGCCACCAAGGCCACACCGAGCGGAACCACCAACGGCGCCAAAGCCAAGAACAGTTCCCAAAACAATCCAAAGGCCTCCGTTCCTCTGCCTCCCGCTGCGTCCAAGTCGAAGACGCGGACGGTGCAGCCTGCAGCGGCTGCAGCACCGGCTTCGCTGCCGGGGCTGTTGCAGCCCACCTTGTTAATTCCCCTGGAGCCGCCCGTGCTGGGGCTGGACGAGCTTCAGGTTCTTGTTGTACAGCTGGCTGACGTGTCCCCCAAGCACCAGACCTGGCTCCTTCAAGGCTGGAGTGGCAAACATAAACCACCTTCACCGACGTCGCCGCAACAGCAACATCTGGAGCCGGAGCCACCCAAGGTCATCGGCTTTGATACGGAGTTCATTGGTGACCAGCTGGCGCTGGTGCAGCTCTGTTGCGGGGACAGAGCACTGCTGGTGCGAGTGCCGCAGCAACGCTCTGCTGCCTCCGGCACCGGCGGCAGCAACAAGGGCGGCAGCAACAAGGGGTCGAAGGGGTCCAAGGGCTCTAAAGCTGGCGGTGCCGTCATCGTGGGCGGTGGCAGCAACAATACGAAATTTGCGGCCTCCTTTCCTTTCATCTGGCCGTCATGGCTGCAGTCGCAGCTGTGCGATCCGTCCCTGCCCAAGGCCGGCGCTGAGGTGTGGCAGGATGCACTTATGATGTTCGCTACGTTCGGTGAGTTGGTTCTGTTGGTTGTGTCGTGTCCCTCGCTTCCTTTTGGCTGCTTCTACCTGGGCTGGCTGGCTGGCTGGCTGGGTGTGTGCTTTTGTCTGGCACATGGTTGGCGCCACGTGCTAGGGAGTGCGGCACGAACATCCCACACACACACCCCTGCTCGGACATTTGGTTCTCCCAACAGAATATGAACGCTCGGCTGCGTCACTCCGACATAGGCGACGTATGTTGCCTTTGTACTCGCGTGTTGCACGTGTTGCCTTTGCACAGCAATGCGCCCTTGTGCAGCGAAACAACGCACATTGTCCCACATCCCTAAACACCCGCACGCACGCACACAGGAGTCAAGCTGCGAGGCGGCTTGGACCTCACTGCCGCGTTTACCTTACCAACTGATGATGACGGTGCTGATGGCAAGAATGGTAACGGTGGCCAACCCAGCCGAAAGCCTTCTTTGTTCAAGATTTTCGAGAATCTGTTTCCGAGTTCTAAGCTCACGAAGGACAAGACTATTGATCACCAGTTGTGGTTTGCGGCGACGCTGAGCGACCGACAGGCAAGAGAAGATATGAAATTACATTTATCCTTGATAATACATTTAATCTTCATAGGCTGAAGTCATCTTCTTGTTGATGCGCCTATATTGTGACAACATTCCTGCCGTTTGTACTGTTGAAGCGATGGTCGTATTTGTACAACATAGCTTGTATGCTGTCCTATTCAGCTCATCTCGTCCCGCTGCTAAGCTGAGCTCAGCTGCCTGTCGGGTAACTTATCGCACAGAAACGCCTATATACATGTGTTTGTGCACATGCTTTTTGCAGATCAAGTACGGCGCGCTTGATGCCTTTGTGTCGTACGCCGCCGGCGTGCGTTTGCTGCAGCAACGGGGTAGGGGAAGCAGGCCCGCGACCGCAACCGGGAAAGTCCCCCTTCCCCCGTTCGTAGATCTCAACCTCCCCTCCCTGGAGGAGTTGGCCCTCGCCGCGCAGTGGGTCCTGACCTACCAGTTCCAGGAGGCAGGCGAACCCCGCCGTACCAAGCACGACTTCACTGAAGCGAACTTCAAGCAGACAAAGGTGCGTGTACGGCACGTGACCCCCAAGAAACATCGAATCCGGGTTTGTCAACTGTAAAGTACGAGGAACATGTTACATGTTGTACAGTAGATGCGCCTTCTCCCTTCCCTCTTCCGACCCGTCCTCCGCTTCGTTCTCTCCTCTCTTTGGACGTCTTGTGACGTCGGTAGTTCTTTTCCTGTCTTTCTTTCTTTATATTTGTCAACAGATTATTGCAACATTCCCCCCTGCCTTCCTCCTCCCTTGCCGTTCTCATCCCTGCTCTCTTCTCCTCCTTCCGTACCGTCCGTACCGTTCCCATGTCCATTTTCAGAAGCAGGAGCTTGTCCTGGCAGTCCGCATGGCCCGCTTCAACACCCGTCTGCGGCGAGGCTACTGGGTGGAGATGCGGCTGGCGGCTCCCGACGGGCGGCAGCTGGTGGGGAGGTGCATGGATCAGGCGGGGAAGTGCGCCACCGTGGGAAAGCTGAGATGGGGGGGAGCAGGTGAGGGGGCGTGTTCAGGGGGTTATAAGTAGGGTAGGGTTTCCCCCCGAGCGGAATTCGGTACGGGTTATTTACGGAGGGTTTTCCTAGGGTTGGGTGTTATACCCCTGTTCTCACACAGCGGGTGGCCGTACTGGGGCCCGTCACCACGAAGGGCAAATCCGTTGCTTCCTCCTTCTTCCCCCGCCGGCAGTTCGGTGTTCACCGTTTCCATGCACACGGTTCCTCCTCATCCCCGTAACCTCTTCAACCGCTTGACATCCCTTGAGCCCTCCCCCTCGCTCGTCGTACACTCGCTCGTGGTTCGTCTTCCCCCCCTCCCGCCCCCCCCTCCCCCTCCCCTCATCAACCCCAGGGGGCAACGCAGTGAAGTGGGGGGAGGTGGCGCACCTGGGGGTGCAGAGCATCGAGATGGAGGAGGCGGGGGAGACGCCGGAGGAGGCGGCGTGCAGCAAACTGCTGTCTGAGGTGCGTGTCAGGTCCCACGTGTGCGTGTATGTATGCACGTACGTATGTACAGTATGCATGTATGGCTTAGGTTACATACGCTGCGGGCTGCGAAAGCCGTATGTATGTGTATTTGTGAGTGGCGCTCTAGGTGGGCATAAACACGCAGGTTAAGCCACGGGGGGGGGGGCACACCCTACATGCTCCGAAACCCACACGCACTTAAAACGCCCCCGCGGGGGCTGCGGACTGACGTACCCATGTGCCGTACATGATCTCAGGTGCTGAGCGGCCAGGGGTCCCTACTGCCGACGCACCTCTCGAAGGGCGTCTTTGGCGGCGGCAGCCTCCGCCTCCCGCCCCCCACACCGTCCCTGCCTCCGTCTACCCCCTCGACTTCAAGCTCAAGCTCAAGCAGCACCCAACAACCTACAAAAACGAACGCAACTAACAAAAACACCGCAAAGGCTTCCAAGGCTGCAAAGAAGGCAGCAGCGGCGGTGGCGGCGGTTGCGGCGGCGGCGGCGGCTGCGGCTGCGGCGGGGTTGGCGGCGGCGGGGTTAGCTGAGAAGCTCCAGCGCCATGTGTTGGCGGCTGTCGGTCCCTTGCACTCCAGCGGACAGGTCAACGACTCCCAGCGGGCGGCCATTGAGGCCATCTTGTGTGGGGGGCCCCAAGGAGGAGGAGGAGCAGCAGGAGGAGGAGGAGGAGGTGTTTCGGCAGTGCACCTGGTGCAGGGACCGCCGGGAACAGGTATGTGTGTGTATGTATGTGTGGAGCTTGGAAGGGGGAATGGGTTGGTGGCGGGGGGGGAGAGGGGGGAAAGGAGAGGGTAGGAGCATGAGGCTGTTTGGGCAGGCAGTGGAAGAGGGAGGGGCGGAGGGGAGGAGAGGAAGAGATGGAGCCCAGAGTGTGCGAAGTTGAGGCTGGTTTAGAGAAAAGAGGGAGGAAACGGGTAAAACTCCCCCCCCCCTCTCTCCCCCGTTGTTCCCACTTGATCACCCCTGGGCCCCCTCCGGCCGCTCCTTCACCCTCGCGCCGCCCTGCAGGCAAGACCACCGTGATTTCCCACACCGTGTCGCTGTGGGTTCGTGTCATCTCCCCCTTTCTCCCCCCCCTCCCGGGAGCCGGGCGCGCCAAGGAGGCGGTGGCGTGTGTGGCACGTAGCAACGTGGCCGCCAAGAACATCGCCCTCTCGCTGCTGAAGAGGGGGCTCGGGGCCAAGGACTTCAGGCGAGTGGAGCGGGGTTGCGTGCATACACGTGTATGTATGTACGTGTGTGCTTCTGTTTGAGAGGCGGGTGTGTGTGTGACAATTGGTATACGGGGAATAGGGGGAATGGCCGGCGGAGAAATCCCCCCACGCGACCTACCCTGGCCCTGGCGCTACAACAGAAAGGGTTAGAAGTCGGCACTGTCGAACGATTAGAAGAGCCGACCGGGTTGATTGAGGATGAGCGCTTTCCTCCTTGTGAGGGGGGAGGGGCGTGATGTGTGGTGTGCATGTATGCGATGGATGTGACTTACGTATGGTGGTGGTGTTGTGTGGTGTACGGCATGTACTGCAGGCTGGTGGTGTCCCGGGACTATCATTTCGAGTGGCACGAGGAGCAGTACAAGGGAGCGCTGGAGGCCGTACTCCTCACCAGCGATCAGCTGGGCCAGGGCGATTTGAGTCGAAAGCTGGAGGACGTCAAGGTGATGGTGGTGACGGCACACACGCGTGTCTGTGTTTTCCTTTGTGTGTATGTATGTATTCACATTACATATCTTGCCGGGCCTGACGCTGTGTGTGTATGTGAAGACCTGTAAGATTGAATATAACCGGTGGGAAGAGCGGGGCTGGGGTTCCCAACCCGCTAAAGAAGGTTGCAACGGACTAACCGCCCCACATCCGCAACGTACGTCTTTCTGTTATGTGCAACTGAAACAGGTGTTCGTGACGACGGTCTCCATGCTTTCCAACCCCAACTTTGAATCGAACGCATTGTACGGCAAGGGGCTGACGAGGCTGATGGTCGACGAAGCATCGCAGATCTACGCGGGAGACCTGGTTCTGCCGCTGGTCCGGTACGGCAATCACCTCAGGTACGTATATAACGTATAACAGTTAATAATTTGATTTACTTATTTATTGTCCTGCATATGCACATGGTAGGAGAGATGGTTGCAAGAGAGCTGATTTTGGCGGTTCCCAACAAGAGACGCTCCACCTCCCCCACCCCTCCACACACGCGTGACCCCGGCATGTTCCCCACGGCCACCTCGGAGAGGGCCTCGGGTGGTGTTTCGTGTGCCGTCAAAACCCCTTTGGTTCTCCCTAGGCTTCGGTACTAAAACCGATTACACACACATGCCCATGCATGCCGTACACGACCAGGTCCCTGTCGCTGTTTGGTGATGACGTCCAACTTCCGCCGTACGGCAGCGAGTGGGATGGCGCGCAGCTCCACAGCCTGTTTGACCACCTGACCCCCCCCGCGGAGCGAGCCCTGGCCCGGCTCCGCCCGCAGCCCAACGCCTTCACCGTGGGCCCCCAGCTGGCGGCACCGCGGGGGTCTGGCGGCGGCGACGGCGGAGCACAGCGCATCATGCTGTCGGTGTCGTACCGTTTGCCAGCGTTGCTGTGCAATTTTGTCAGCCAGGCGTTGTACGGCGGAGTGTTAACGCCACCGGGACTTGACGGCGGTGGGGGCCATCGGACCCGGGCTTCCAGGTGGGCCGGGCTAAGGCACGGAAGATCGCATCTTTTTTAGAGAAAGGAAATGAACGCGTTGTTGTACATATTCCGTACATTACGACGTACTGCGTACATTAAGCTTTCAACGGGATTTAATAACATCCATTACCCTGCCCAGTGCCCACCTCCACAACCTCACACCCCCCTCCGAGCATTTCCCGTTATCATTTCCGTACTTTGAGACGTAAAGTTCAAGCTTCGACGTACCGCGGTGGTTCTTGTAAGAGTGCTTTGTGTTCGTGTCAACATAATCTCCTCTTCCCCCGCCTCTTTCCCCCCCCCTTTGGAACGGATGCGGGTGGTGTCGGAATCCCCTCCCTGCGCCACCGAGCCCCCAGTCCCCAGTAGCCAACAATCCTCAACAACGGTAACTAACCCCAACGGTGAAACCGGGAAACACCCTCACCACCGCCAAATCCTAAAACCCTCAGGCCTATTCTATGGGTGGATGTGGAGGGCAAGGAGGAGAAGCGCGGCAGCTCCAGCTACGAGAATCGGGAGGAAGTACGGCAGGTTGTACGGCTGGTGACGAGCAACCCCGAGATCCAGAGGAACAGCTGGACGGTAAGGATGGGGGAATGTGAGGTTGAGTGTGTGTGTGTGTGTGTATAGACCTACACAGGTGCATGATGAGAGGTGCCGTACTCACCCGCGCTTACTGCTCCCGTACTTCCCTCCCGCCCCTTCCGCCCGCAGGTGATCACGGGGTATGACCTGCAGCGGGCGGTGCTGCAGAAGAAGCTGGCGGCAGCGACCGGCGGCGGCGGCAGTAGCGGCAGCGGCGGCGGCGGTCGGAGTGGCGGCGGTACCCGTCTGCCCGGGGGAGACCGAGTGTACAACATCGAGTAAGTCCGCTGAACTGCCGTACCGTCATTGGCGGCGCAAGAGGAGCGTCGTACTTGATTAATGGCAAGCCCTTGGAGTTGCGTGTCAGGAGGAAACCCCCGCGAACTGAAGAACCGTGTTGTGTAAGTGTGTGAATGTTTGCCTGCTCCGCTGTCGTACAATCTGTGCAGTACATTCCAAGGTCGCGAAGACGAGGTCATCATCGCCAGCTTGGTTCGCTCTGAGAAGAAACTGGGCTTCATGAAGGACGACAGAAGGGTGAACGTCATGCTGACGCGGTACGATTACTTACGTATGCACATACGTTATGTCGTACGGATATCAATCCGTCAAATTCACTGCCTTGTCACCAAGTTTGTCCACTTGTAGGATTATGCGTCTCTAAACGCGTGTGTGTATCGTCTGCGGTCCCGTTATACCCCTCAAACAAACAAACAACAGCAAACAGTAAACATGGCCTATTTTGCTGTTCATGCGATCCGCTAAGATCCCTGAAAACAACCCCCCTTGAAACCGCATCCCCAAGCCCTTCCCCTCCCCCCCCCATGCCGATACACGTCTTCTCGCAGCTGCACGCGGCAGTTGGTGGTGGTTGGCCGGCTGTCCCTCGCCTTGTCGCACCCGGCCACTCTCATCGGTCGACTGGCGGCGTTCTGCGTTCAGCAGGGGTTGGTGGTGCGACCTCCGAAAGCACCGCAACTACCGCAACTACCGCGACCACCGCGACCACGTGCCGTCGCCTGAAGCCCTTCACGTGGCCGGAGGAGTGCAGCTTCCACCTCCAGCTTCCGCCGCCACCACCACCACCGGTGAAAGCACGGGGGAACACCCCGCCCCGCCATTGGGTGCTCCTGCGGCCACCAGCAGCGAGAGGGGCCGGGGGGGAAAGGGGGTCAAACATCCGCACACACCGCACACACCGCACACACACGCGGGCAAACAGCAGATGGAAAGAAGTTCGTGCACGTGAAGAACATTGTGTGGAAAACGGTGCACGTCTCGCACAGCGCATTAGTTATGTTGTACTCCATCGTCGTACTGTACTGTAGCGGATGCATGCGATGTACCGAGTGGCCATGGGGGTTTTTAGTCTGCTTGGAGCGATTACAGTAGTGCCGGTAGATGCATGTTTTTGCATGAGTTCAAAATTCAGCTTACGTACACCTGCTGAGTAAAATTATTTTTCTGCAGAACGTTACATTACATTACAGTGCACTTGGCATCAACAGCATAGTGTGAGGCATCAACATCATGATATTTTGTTTTATGTTTTTTTGCTTTATTTATTATCCCTCCCGGGAGCGGCTTGGCGGGGGTTGCAGGTGGCGGTTGCTGGCGGTTGCAGGTGGTTGAAGAATATGCATGCACGTATGATATTATCTGCGACAGCTGGTCACTGGTGCAAATCTGAAAAACACAAAATAATTACTTGATAGTTGTTGTTGTAGTAGTAGGTATTACAATTGTTGGTCCGGTTGTTGGGCGACATGGCCTCCGTGCCAACGGTCAGCGAATAAAGAGATTGTCTCAAAACGGCGGGATCTGGTCGTTGAATGTAGGTACTTCACACATGTTGGATGATGGAGGGGGTTGCTTTGCATGTGCGTGGGCGTTAGCGGCACTTTCCTGCAACTTGGAATACATACACAACTGGTAATATAATAGTTAAACCGGCTCGTATGACATTATCTGCGACAGCTGGTCACTGGTGCAAATCTGAAAAACACAAAATAATTACTTGATAGTTGTTGTTGTAGTAGTAGGTATTACAATTGTTGGTCCCGCTGGGCGACATGGCCTCCGTGCCAACGGTCGGCGAATAAAGAGGTTGTCTCAAAACGGCGGGATCTGGTCGTTGGATGATGGAGGGGTTTGCTTTGCATGTGCGTGGGCGTTAGCGGCACTTTCCTGCAACTTGGAATACATACACAAACTGGTAATATAATAGTTAAACCGGCTGTACGGAAATACTCCACTCGCCAAACACACCTATTATGTCGGCCGCACTTGTTCGGCATAATAATCTGCATCGTACGTTTATACCTCTGCATCTGCTTGCGAGTCTACTTACGGCGGTGCGTAGCGTGTCTCGCTGGAGTTAATTCCGCTGGAGTAGAGATGCTGGAACGCTGACGTCATGGTTGTGGTGGTTGGTTGTGGTTGGTTGTGGTGGTTGTGGTTGGTGATTATGTGCCGCAAAAGCAGAGTTCTACAGTTGTTGATTGCTACCGCTCATTATTGCGCTCGCCAATGATCGGCCAAAAATTTATAATAGTAGTAGTTGCTGTTAGTTCTTTTTGAAAAGCTGTAACTCTTAGGTAAAAAATGATTCTTCCTTTATTTCTAACTCTAAAAAGGTAACCTCTTAGGTAAAAAATGATACTGCCGTACAGTCTCTATAGGGAAGAAGGCCAATGATTGCTACCGCTCATTATTGCGCTCGCCAATGATCGGCCAAAAATTTATAGTAGTAGTAGTTGCTGTTAGTTATTTCTGAAAAGCTGTAACTCTTAGGCAAAAAATGATTCTTCCTTTATTTCTAACTCTAATTTCTAACTCTAAAAAGGTAACCTCTTAGGTAAAAAATGATACTGCCGTACAGTCTCTATAGGGAAGAAGGCCAATGATGCCGTACAGTCTCTATAGGGAAGAAGGCCAATGATGCCGTACAGTCTCTATAGGGAAGAAGGCCAATGATGCCGTACAGTCTCTATAGGGAAGAAGGCCAATGATGCCGTACAGTCTCTATAGGGAAGAAGGCCAATGAACAAGGCCCTCAAGTCGTACGGCCTAAAGGGAAATCTATCCGTCACTGGCTCTACCTGCTAAGCGGAATCTGCAACAATTTCTTTTGAAGTATATGACAGCATATTGATCTTCCGCCTTGTAGCGTGCTAGATGCTGTGTGGTAAACCACTGTGTTCCGCGTCTGCGTCCATTTTGCCTGCCAAAAGTGGTGAACCAACTTAATCAAATGCAGATTTACAATGTCATAAAAACGAAAATGTAGGTAGTGCTGTTACGCACTTTTCGGCGGCGGCAAGATTTCGCACGGCATCATCGCACGACCGATCTGCGTCGCTGTTCAGCCAGTATTTCGCCCAGTAGATAAATAGAAAATACTGTGTATTACATATGACTTCTTCTTTTCACAATTTGTAAGATTAGTTTGGCTTCTTTTCCTTCGCCGTTATCGTTGTGATAGACTGATCCTTGAGTCAATACATTCATTAAATCCTTGGACTGATATTGAATATAAAGCTAGTAAATGCTGTCATTGAAGGTACAATCGCTGACGTTCAGAATTGTGGTCATGCTCGCCATGACCACGACACACTATGACGACGGGTGATCGCCTTAAGTCCGCGTTAGTTCGCGTAACGGTGCGAATCTTAGCGTTAGGTGCGAATGAGCATGCTTGTGTAACGCAAAGAGCTAACGCACAACGGCTATGGAAAAGCGGAAATCGGCCCTCCTGGCTAAATTTCTAAATTTTATAATTTTCAGATTATAAAGGTTCATTTGGAAATAAACTTCAATCCGTGCGTATGTTGAAACGCGAAGCATACGCGCCTGTGTAGCAAGGCGATACGCATGCGATTCCATATTGCGATTCGTGCGTGGTGGGGAGACAATGCGTAAAGCAATACGCGTCCAATCGCACATCAAACGCATACAGTCCGCAAGGCTATTCACATGCGAATCATTGTTGCGTTTCATGCGTATGAAGGCTGATTGCGTAAAGCTTAACGCGGCCTAACACACACCAAACGCACACATGTCGCAACGCAATTCGCATGCAAACAAATGTTGCGTTTCAAGCGTATGAAGGCTCGTTGCGTCAAGTTTACTGCGGCCTAACACACCAAACACACACCAAACACACACGATTTACTTTGATTAATCGCATGACATAACAATTCACATGCCATGTTTTATGTGTTGGTCGCATACTCAGTTCGTTAACCTTCACGCATCCTCATAAGAGAATAACATGCTTGGCAGCACTCAGGGGGCCCTTCTGCAAACGAGATCGCATCAGGAGCAGCCTTATATCGCACAACGATTCATCATACCATCAACAGATGCCAGAAAGGCGGCGGGACAGATGCCGCATGCGAACGCGCACGCAATTAGAACCCCGCTGGCTGTGAGGCAGTTGTGGGGACATGCCTGGGAGGCTGAAAGGGCTTCCAGACGCATAAATCGCATCAGGCACCGTCTTACACCGTGCCAACGATGTATGACGCCATCAACTATTTGCCGAAATGTGGCCAGGAGCCATCGTGCACCGCAACAATGATGCATCATACCATCAACTAGTTGCCAGAAAGGCGGCGGGAACGCGGCTTGATCAGTCATGATCGCTAGGCAACCATCATGGGGAAGGGATGTAAGGGTGTCCTCCTCTCGGATGGGTCGAACTACTCCCAGTGGCTCGGCGACTTAGGCGATTTCCTTGCAACATCCAAGTTGAAGACTACATCAACACCCGTCGCCTCCGGGCCGCAACGCCCAAGACGCCCTGGAGGAGGACGCACAGGCGCTCGGCTACCTGCATGTCCTGTGAACTGCCCATCAAGCAGTTGCTCAGGAATTGCCAGACCACCCTCGCCGCCGTGCAGCTCTTACAGCAACAGTTGCGTTCTGCATCCCAGGCCCGGCTGAGCCTGTTGGAGCCGCAGAAGCAGCTGAGCATGCGCGATGGGAAGACAACCACTGACTTCATTCAGCAGGCAGAGCAGCTCCGTAGCAATATAATTGTGGCCGGCGGCCAGTGGGACGAGAGCATGATGCACCACGCCATTCTCCATGGCCTGCCTCCGCAGTGCACCATCACCGTCGAGTTCACGATGAATCAGCCCAACTTAACGAACCCACAGCTCGTGCTCATGCTGCGTGAGAAGGAGAACAACCTTAAGACCCAAGCAAGCAAGACAAGCCTGGTGGGAGCTGTCGGCCCTGGCCGTGCTGCCAGTGGAATCGGCAGCACCGCTGGTGCTGCAGGCACCGTGGGGGCCGGCGACACCTGTCACTACTGCGGACAGCCTGGTCACTATGTTCACAAGTGTCCCGTTAAGCAGGCGGACGAGTCCGTTGGCCTTCACCGCAGCAACACATTCGAGCAGCTGCACACCGCCGGCAACATCAGTTGAGGCAGCTGCAACCGCCACCGTGACGGTGGCAGCAGGGGCACTGGCAGCGGCAATTGCGGTAACAGCAGGGCCGACGGAGCACGTGAATGTGGCCGTGCTCAATGCAGCAACAGCCACCGCAACGGTGGCGACACTGCAGGCGGCAGCAGTGGCAGCGGCTCGGGCAGCAGCAGAAGCAGCTCACACCAGAGCCGTGCCCCAGTGCTGGTCATCGACCGCAGTGGAAGCAGCTCACGAGTCACCCTCGACTCAGGCTCACCATACCACCTCACGGGTGACCGCTCCCTGCTGCACAACCATGTCCCCACCGGCGCGCCACAGCTAATCGGGTGGGGCAACATGTCGTGGGAACAGGGAAGCTGCACCTGCATACTCGTGATGGACACAATGTCCGGCTGCACAACGTGCTGCACATCCCCAGCTCGGGCCTCACCCTGACGTCTGTCGACTTCGTGAGAGGTCGACAGACCTCATGACACGCGGCTACTCGGTCATGTTCAGCATGGACAAGACAGGCTGCTGGTTCTTATGCATCAGCCTCCTGCACAACAGCCCGTCTATAACCGCATGGAGTGAGCATGGGCACTA